ATTTGGTAGTGAATTCCACTCTAGGAATCTCCTATGAGGAAACTGTACTGTGTTCGCTTTAGCCGGGCATACTGTATATAATAGTTAATGATAAATCATTGTGTAGGGGACAGGCAGCCAGTGTATATAACAAGTTAGGCTTATACCGGTCCCACAAAGATGGAACTATGGAGTAAGACTGGATGCTGCCGGGGCTGAACTTTATCACCTTTGCAAGCACAATTTTTTGTTAAATCTTCACAAGGAAGAACAACTGTAAATGTTGGAATAGTTTATTACAACATACAAGCTAAAGAAACCAGTTCGGAAACTGAGGAAATAAAGCTACCGAAAAGAAACATTACAAAGTCCACTCATGCAAAGTGATAGACATTCTGACCAAAACAGGAATTTTACATTGATCTTAATGCTGATATGTTGATGTGATTAGCATTTTTTTTTTGAGGTATATACAAGAGTTGTTACATTCTTGTACAGCCACTAGTACGCGTAGCGTTTCGGGCAGGTCCCTGGAATACGATCCCCGCCGCGAAGAATCGTTGTTACAACCAAGTACACATTTTACTGTTGAGTTAAACAGAGGCTACAGTTAAGGATTTGCGCCCAGTAAATCCTCCCCGGCCAGGATACGAACCCAGCAGGACAAGGGGCTCGCGGAACGCCATTTCAATTTCTTTCTTTATTATGCACCCCATACCCATCCCGTGGGTATGTACATACATTTCGGATATGTAAACAATTTAAAACGGCCATAGGCTGGCCGTTTTTCTGGTTTTATAGTAAATCGTCAGTTGTATCCTCTGATTTTTGTCTGTAGGGATAACGTTTCTATTAACAATATCTTTCAGGACCCTTTCCTCCGTTTTATGAGCTGTGGAAAAGAAGTTCCTGTAAAATAGTCTAATAGGGGGTATAGGTGTTGTGCTATTAGACTATTTTACAGGAACTTCTTTTCCACAGCTCATAAAACGGAGGAAAGGGTCCTGAAAGATATTGTTAATAGAAACGTTATCCCTACAGACAAAAATTAGAAGATACAATATATGATTACTATAAAACCAAGAAAACGGCCAACCTACTCATGAGAAACTCTCCAGACACAAAGCAGAACGTTTTAAAAGAGACCAATGTCGTCTATGCCTTCAAATGCTCACTTGGGGACAGTAAGCCTCAAAGAATTCAGTATATAGGCAAGACAACAACATCTCTTTCAAGGCGTTTAACGATGCATAAGCAACAGGGCTCCATTAAGGAACATATAATCTCTTCCCACAACCAAACCATCGCCAGAGAAATCCTAGTAAACAACACAGAAATCATCGATAGATACAGCGATAGCAGACAGCTTGACGTTTGCGAGGCACTACACATTAAGAAGTCAACACCAGCAATCAACAGCCAATTAATGCACAACTATATTCTACCCACCTCAAGACTCCGCTCCAATATAGAAGCATCAAGAAATATGGACCAATAGGCTTTCTACAATCACTTCCATTCAATACCCATTGTTTCGTGTTCTGTCTTGTGTTGATGAATTTAATACCCTATTAAATACCACCTCACCCCATCCACCTCACTCAAATGTAGATATAAACAAATCGGAGATGTGTAAGTTCTATTCAGTTGTGTATGTGTAAACTAAAGTCTTTGAAAATGTAATAAGTTTTACGAAACGCGCTCAAGTGTCGCGTCAGACTAGAAATAAAAATGAATTTTGGAGAATTGATTTTTGAATTACCACCAACAGTGAAAAGAAATGTACGAAAGATTGAGAAAATTCGTGTTAGAATTATTAATCTTACTTTTTCGGTCATATTTAATAATATATGTCTACAGGAAAGACTGCTACCAAAATATATATATATATATATATATATATATATATATATATATATATATATATATATATATATATATATATATATATATATATATATATGTCGTACCTAATAGCCAGAACTCACTTCTCAGCCTACTATGCGAGGCCCGATTTGCCTAATAAGCCAAGTTTTACTGAATTAATATATTTTCTCTAATTTTTTTCTCATGAAATGATAAAGCTACCCATTTCATTATGTATGAGGTCAATTTTTTTTATTGGAGTTAAAATTAACGTAGATATATGACCGAACCTAACCAACCCTACCTAACCTAACCTAACCTATCTCTATAGGTTAGGTAGCCGAAAACGTTAGGTTAGGTTAGGTTAGGTTAGGTAGGTTAGGTTGTCGAAAAAACATTAATTCATGAAAACTAGGCTTATTAGGCAAATCAGGCCTTGCATAGTAGGCTGAGAAGTGAGTTCTGGCTATTAGGTACGACATATATATATATATATATATATATATATATATATATATATATATATATATATATATATATATATATATATATATATATATATATATATATTAGTATATTTTGGTAGCAGTCTTTCCTGTAGACATATATCATTAAATGAAGTTTAATAATAGGTGTACCTGTTATGCCAGTTGCTGGAAGGCTTCTGTGCTGGCTAGGGTTCGAGTCTCCTGGTGGGAAAGTGTTCTAAAGTATATATATATATATATATATATATATATATATATATATATATATATATATATATATATATATATATATATATATATATACGTATACATATATACATACACATACATATTTAATCTCCCACACAAATACACAGATCAATAATCTTTTGTATCAAGTGAAACACCATCAATAGTGTCCAAGAAATGTGTAAGTACTTAACTCTGAATACGTAAGTGTGTTCGCTTCTCCTACCACCCCCCTTTTTTATGGTGTACACTTTATTAGGCAAGGTTATACAGTTACATATCTGATTCTATTTATACTATATATATATATATATATATATATATATATATATATATATATATATATATATATATATATATATATATATATATATATATATATATATATATATATATATATATATGTCGTACCTAGTAGCCAGAACGCACTTCTCAGCCTACTGTGCAAGGCCCGATTTGCCTAATAAGCCAAGTTTTCATGAATTAATTGTTTTTCGACTACCTAACCTACCTAACCTAACCTAACCTAACTTTTTCGGCCACCTAACCTAACCTAACCTATAAAGATAGGTTAGGTTAGGTTAGGTAGGGTTGGTTAGGTTCGGTCATATATCTACGTTAATTTTAACTCCAATAAAAAAAAATTGACCTCATACATAATGAAATGGTTAGCTTTATCATTTCATAAGAAAAAAATTAGAGAAAATATATTAATTCAGGAAAACTTGGCTTATTAGGCAAATTGGGCCTTGCATAGTAGGCTGAGAAGTGCGTTCTGGCTACTAGGTACGACATGTATATATATATATGTCGTACCTAGTAGCCAGAACTCACTTCTCAGCCTACTATTCAAGGCCCGATTTGCCTAATAAGCCAAGTTTTCCTGAATTAATATATTTACTATAATTTTTTTCTTATGAAATGATAAAGCAACCCTTTTCTCTATGTATGAGGTAAATTTTTTTTTTTGGAGTTAAAATTAACGTAGATATATGACCGAACCTAACCAACCCTACCTAACCTAACCTAACCTATATTTATAGGTAAGGTTAGGTTAGGTAGCCAAAAAAATGTAGGTTAGGTTAGGTTAGGTAGGTTAGGTAGACGAAAAAACATTAATTAATGAAAACTTGGCTTATTAGGCAAATCGGGCCTTGAATAGTAGGCTGAGAAGTGCGTTCTGGCTATTAGGTACGACATATATATATATATATATATATATATATATATATATATATATATATATATATATATATATATATATATATATATATATATATATATATGTCGTACCTAGTAGCCAGAACTCACTTCTGAGCCTACTATGCAAGGCCCGATTTGCCTAATAAGCCAAGTTTTCATGAATTAATTGCTTTTCGACTACCTAACCTACCTAACCTAACCTAACCTAACTTTTTCGGCTACCTAACCAAACCTAACCTATAAAGATAGGTTAGGTTAGGTTAGGTAGGGTTGGTTAGGTTCGGTCATATATCTACGTTAATTTTAACTCCAATAAAAAAAAATTGACCTCTTACATAATGATATGGGTTGCTTTATCATTTCATAAGAAAAAAATTAGAGAAAATATATTAATTCATGAAAACTTGGCTTATTAGGCAAATCGGGCCTTGCATTGTAGGCTGAAAAGTGAGTTCTGGCTACTAGGTACGACATATATATATATATATATATATATATGATACGAGAGGTGATAATTTTTGTAAAGTAAAGATAGTAGTAAATAGGGTAAGGAAGGTAGTATGTCAAGAGAATGGCCTATATACAACAATTATAAAACATATGTAAACACTATAAACTTTTTAAAAATGTTAGTTGTATAAGAATGATATATATATACGAGAGGTGATAATTTTTTTAAAGTAAGGATAGTAGTAAATAAGGTAAGGAAGGTAGTATATTAAGAGAATGGCCTATATACAACAATTATAAAACATGTAACATTTCAGATATGTAAACAATATAAACTTTTCAAAAATGTTAGTTGTATAAGAATGATATATGTATGATTCAAGAGGTGATAATTTTTTTAAAGTAACGATAGTAGTAAATAAGGTAAGGAAGGTAGTATATTAAGAGGATGGGCTATATACAACAATTATCTTGCGGGTCCCTGGCCGCACACTCGCCATTTTGTCCGTCCCGTGCGCGCTCTGACGGTCATTCCCAGAGTCAGCAAGGTAATGTTTTTATCCCGATTTGTGCCCCACTCAGCCCACCATGTACAAGTATTTCCGCGGCAGGTGAGGGCAAGCGTGGCCACGAGGGCTCCTACATGCCGCCAGGCGGGGAAATAGGGGGAATAGGGGGTGAAAAGATGTGATGAGTGGAGCGCGTGTGTCCATGGTGGCGGGCCGCTGGTCATGCCCCCTACTTTTCACTCTTCAAAGCTGTAAATGTGAGTCCGTCCGTCAGACTGCGTTGTCGTAGCTGCTGCTTGCTGGGGACACCACACACGTCCCTCGCAGCCACACACTTGATGAATGATGGTGGCGGCCGGGAGGCTCCGGGGGGCGAAATGGCGAGATAAATAGGTTCAGGGAGGCGAGAGGAGGGTAGCGGCAGCCATTATTAGCTGGTGGAGTGGTGGTGGTGCTTCCTGTTGTGTGGCTCGTGTTGTGCCTCCTGTGTAGCGCCTGTTGTGGCTCCTGTTGTGGCTCGTGTTGTGGCTCCTCTACGCCAGCAACAGTGACTTGGGCACACTTGTAACTCATTAATGTCATTATCTTCGTACAACCGTCGTCAACTTTACGGGAAACATAAAGAAATAACGAGTTTCAAAACTTGTGCTTAACCTGCTGTTTTAATATTTTAAGAAGGTGCAGCTATTTCTGGCCTATGATGCGATACTGCTAAACGTCTCTATCAGTCTCATTGAAGTATTGTGTTAAAACATGATAATCAAAGGTCCAGATTTTATGTCCAGAGTAACATATCATCTTGGGTTCCTAACCGCTGACAAGGGTCTAATTAGGACTTTGTATCATTAAATTTGCACCTCAGTACTGTAATCTTTGTTTTGGTTTTAGCCAAAAAAGAGCACAATTTAAATGTTTTAAAGCACCAAGTCATATGGGATTATAGAAGTAAAGCTACCACTTTCCCGAGTTTACCCGAGTGCCACTAACACTAGTGGCCTTGACGATGACAGGAAGCTGGCCGGTTGTCGAAGGTGCCCCTATTTGCCTTGATGATCTTTCCCATCAGTTTCCGATCTAGCTTTGAAAGTTAGCAGAGTTTTGGCATCAGTGGTTTCAGCGGATAGGCAGTTCCATAGGTTAATAACCCTGTGTTGATTATTTGTTAATTATTGAGAGCATATGGTGTTCCTCATATACAAAGCAATTCTTCAAGGGGCTAATGCATAATACTGTACTACTTAATTGATGGTAGGTTAGACAGTTCTGTTTCTACTAATGTACAAAATCTTATCTGGCAGATAAGATACAGATTGCCATTTGTACTGGATGAACATATGGCTTTTCATACATAGCTAAATGTTTGGTATGTTAGGAGAGTATTTACCTAAAGGCCACCATCTCTAGTGTGTTCAATTGGGGCAGTAAGCAGGTGGCTTGTTGAAGATCTTCCTCATTGTTCATGAAGACTTTATACAGCTGGATTTTGAACTGCAGTAATGTCTTGGCATTTACGGCAACGGTGAGTAGGCCGTTCCATGAGTTTATAACACTGGGTGAATAAAAGGCATACCCCCCCTTGTTTTCTGTCCTATATTGTGACTTGTTGAGCCTGAAACTGTTGCCCCTTGTATGTGTGTTACATGTGATCTTTTATCGAGGTCGTATGAATTAATACCCTCTGTGTACAGTATTTTAAAGGTCTCTGTGAGATTAGTCTCGTCATGTCTGCTTTGCAGTGTTGTTAGTTCTGTGGCTATCAACCAGGTCTCCGTTCATGCAGGTCGGCTTTCAATTCCCGCTTGTCCAAGTAGTTGGGCAAAATTCCTTCCCTTCTCTCGCCCCATCCCAAATCTTTATCCTGATCTCTTCCAAGTGTAGTATAGTACTTGCCTAGTTGTAGGCGAGTCGTAATGGCTTGGCACTTTCTCCTGATAGTTCACTTCCTCTTCTCAATCATTCCTTGTATGAGAGTTGACTTTATTCTGAGATGATGATTGTTGTTCTGCATGAAGTATATGGTCTAGTGTGGGCATAGGAACAGTAGCCAAATGCAAATGCTTTATTTATTATACATGCCAGTTTATGAATGAAACAAGTGTGAAATGCCAGTCTATGAAATGATCACACTTCATTAGGTCTAAAGTGTTTTTTTCCACCATTTTCACCCTGAATGCATATACTGTACTGTATTAGGTTAGGGTTGCCATATTTGAACAGACTCGCAAGACACCTCCACTATCAGTCACCACGACTCCGTGTCCCCCACCCAAACACATACATACATATATATATATAGATATATTGATAAATATATTCATATAGGTGAATATATACACAAATAATTTTTTAAGTGATGGAAGCTGAAATTCCAGACTTTTGGAAACAATTTCAAGTTCTTCCTGGATGCAAATTTTGACACCTAATGTGTCAAAAACACCTCAGCACCTCAGCAAGTGGTCCCTCAGCAGGGACCACCTGCTGAGTGGTGGTCCCTCCTCCCAGGAGCTGCTGAGTGGTGGTCTCTTCTCCCAGGAGCTGCTGAGTGGTGGTCCCTCCTCCCAGGAGCTGCTGAGTGGTGGTCCCTCCTCCCAGGAACAGCCAAGTGGTTGTACTGATTCTACTAAGACAGAATTAATTATAGTGTATACACAGGGTGATCAGGTCAATCAAATCTTTACAGGGGAAACCCTAGAGGAAGAGGACATTCTTTCAGTAACCATGGTTATGCTTCATGAGCGTAAACCAACCAATTGCAATGGACGGTAGAGCGACGGTCTCGCTTCTTGCAGGTCGGCGTTTAATCCCCGACTGTGCAAGTGGTTAGGCACTATTCCTTTCCCCCCTGTTCTGTCCTAAATCTTCATCCTTATATCCCTTCCGTGGTCTATAAAGTCTAAATGACTTAACGCTCTCTCTTAATAATTATCTTATCTTCATGAGCGTATACGGTGGATTGCTGAAAGGGTGACGTACTTGCTCTTTCATGTACATTTATTAGACTTGCAATTTTTCCCTATAGGATGGAAGGGAGCCAAGGAGGGGAAACGATAAGTGACATACATAATTACCTCGACACGTTCAATAAGGAGATCCAGACTGGAGATCAAACACCTACAGGTTAGTAACCATGCAGCGTCTTAGATGATTTGGTTGAAATACTTTTGTAAAGTTTACCCGTGCACTTGTACAGTAGAGTACTTGGGTTTGTGTTAGTTTATGATAGATTTGTTGCAGTTGTGTAGGGATTTGTGTTGATGTGTTAGTTATCAAGAGTTTGTAATCCCCTCTTGTATTATTATATAAAGTTTGATATTCGTATATTGACACTTACAGTATGTTGTGAACCAGATCTTCTAGACTGTTATTGTATACAATCAAGTAAAAATAAATTGTGCGTACATTTTAAACTCGTGATTGATTTGTAATCATAATAGCCCGTGTTGATTTCAGCCGATGTTGCTCGAGTATTTGTAGATGCATCTGGTCAATACTTTTACCAAAATGTTGATGGGAGCCAGCAGCAGGTGGTGGTGGTGTCGTCTGATGGAACAGATGGCTCAGAGGGGGAAGGTGGCGGTGCTGATGGTTCTGTTATGTTGAATGGTGAGGAGGACTCTCTCCATGACGTAAGTGTTGGTTCCTTGACACGTTCAATAAATATATATACCTCATATATATATACAGTAGCACCCTGATTAATGAGCAGCTCTATCTACGAGCATTTCGAGTAACGAGCTAGCCACTCGCAGAACATTTGTCTCTACTAATGAGCTTTTCCTCGATTAACGAGTATTTCCGCTAGTTCTCGGACACCTTTTACGACAGTTTTGTTGTTGTTTCGCAAGACTAGTTTTCCACATGATGAGGTCGGTGCCAGAACGGATTAAACTTGTTAATGGAGGTGCCACTGTACCTCAATATACCTTACTTTTGCAGATCCTCTCCAAATTGTTATTTTTTATTTGAAAAACAAATCATCCTACATATTTAATGCCAGTTCCAGATAGAATAAGGTTCCTACAAGCTTCCGATCTCTTCACCCTTGTAGTGAACATAGTATTGTTGGGTTGGTGAATTTTTTGTCTGTAAAGTGAAGTGCTCACATTTAACTTTTCTTGATGAAAATATGTATTTAACAATAGAATTTTACCGATTTATGAAGAAATCTCTTTTTAAGAGTTATAATGTACAAGTAACAGGACTGATTTTGGTCTCTATTAGGATGGGGACAGTTTGTCACAAGGGCAGGTGGCACTTGGCGAGGATGGCACTCTGCAGGTCATTCCTGGCATGGAACAGGGTGAAGGCAACAATCAGGTGGTTCTTAATACAGGTAAGATACATTTCCTGTACACACGCAGGTAATAAGTCTTTCTTTAATAATAAATTCATTGGTGTGTTATTGAAGCACTACAAGAAAAAAAAATTTGTGCAAAGGAACTTTGTACTTGTCCTGATAGGTATAATTACTGTATATAAATGAAAATTACCGTGTATTCGCAATTAAATCATAATAAGGTGATGAATCGATGAGAATTATTGAGGCCGTATAGTTGGACAGAACATGTGTCTCTGGGCTCTCCAGGCGCATGTACTACTGTCTGAACCATGAAGAGCTAAAAGTACATCCACCAGAAGTACTACCAGACTTGTGTGGAGTTTGGAAGGTACCATCCAGTACCACAGTCTTAAGTTTTATGAAATACCCATGCTTGGGTATTATGTTTGGGTGTGGGTTGTGATGATTACCCATCTCTCCCTCCTCCCCCTGTGATAAATCTACGAGAAAATGTTGAGACCGTACGAAAGGCAAGTCTAGGGATACTGCTTTGATTCCATCGTATGGCTTCAATATTATCATGTGTGTGTGTATATTTATACTCTGCAAGCACATGATTTAATTTATGAAGTAATTATATTTTCTTTTAGGAATGGCAACTAAGTAAATTTATTTATTGATTACATTGTCATCTTTCAGGAGACAACAATCAAATAGTAACTATTGTTCCTTCATCAACTAATCCTGGTGAAGTCAGTTATGTTTTGATCGTTGAACAGTCTGGTGATACTGACAAAGATGATACTGTGTATGATTTTAACGAAGCGGATGAAGGCCTAAGTTATGTGAGTAATGTATCTTTATCTGCTAAAATTGTTTGGTATTTTAATTTTAGGCATAGCAAATATAACGAGAACTTGAACACACACACAATAAACCCCCTTATGAACTAACGTATGATTACCCACTCATTCAGAAAAGTCTGTACATGTGCAGGGAAATAGAGGAAAAACATCAGATATAGCTGGGTTTGCAGACGAGAAGTCACAATAACGTGGTTGAAATATGTTGACCATATCACACACTAGAAAGTGAAGGGACGATGACGTTTCGGTCCGTCCTGAACCATTCTCAAGTCGATTGTGAGAATCAACTTGAAATTGGTCCAGGACGGACCGAAACGTCGTCGTCCCTTCACTTTCTAGTGTGTGGTTTGGTCAACATAGCTGGGTTTGCTTTGCCTATTTCCATAACCATTCTATCTAGGGTTATGAAGTGGATGATTTACTGGAGTGTAGTTGTGCTAGTCCAACATGAAGTCACAGTGTTCAAAAAACAACATTGGAGATATTAAAGCTCAATCCTCGTCTATTTGCCATGGCCTGCACACTGTATTCGCCTAGTTGTATTCACAACTAGGCATGATGATTAGACCAGGGTCGAGCTTTAATATCTCTTAACGTTATTTTTCAAGTTCTGCTTCCATCTTTTCTCCAAGCTAATGCCTCTCTTCCTCATGAAAGGGAAAACTGAATAATAATAATGATGATATACATACTGGATCAGTAATTATTCAATTATTTCCTCAATTAAAGATTAATATGGTTCCAGGAATCTGGCGACGAAGATGACAAGAAAATGATGCGTATCATTCATAAAAAATCACAAACAGTTACTCAAGCCCATATGTGCAACTATTGTAATTACACCAGTCCAAAAAGGTAAGGATATAAGTATAAATTGATTGAAAACATCTATACATGCCTATACATATTCAGATACTGTATATGTCATTATTACATTCTCTATATAATCATTGTACATAGCATTATTATATATATTTTTTGTAACTTTGATAGTGAATAGTAAAAGAAAAGCATTATTATTTGAGTAGAAAGTAAATTTAGGCATGAATTGTCCTGAGAAGTGTGTGGTGTACACTGTAATATGGATATAAGATGAAGCAAATTTGGTACAGCAGTACTGTACTTTATTGTGTTTAGGTGATGTAGGTTGCTGGTGTTGAATCAATAATAGTATTTGATCATGTTCGACTTAAAATGAGTTTAGCTTTCCTCTAAATAGCAGGTAGGCAGAGTGAAGGCTACTAACTATTAGCAGAAACTGATCATGTTTCTTTATATGGGACTGACGTATGAAGGACGATAATCCAGGTAATCCAGGTCCAGGTATGATCATGAGATCTGGCTGAACTCAAATTACAACTGTGTACTCCATGCACTTCATCCACTGGTTCTACAGCTTGGTACTTTTCATTTTATAGAATCTCTTGTCAAACCTCTGCAGGAACTGCACTGTGAACCTCATATTGTCTTCTCATCATGAAACTTATGAAACTGACCAAGTTTCTTACTTGAAGTATGGTTATTGACCACTGCACTACGCCACCCGACATAACACAGGGTATGGCGGTGCACCACCTGACTCTTAAGCGATGTTAGGATATTGTAAGATTCAAGATGCGCGCGCGGTGGGTTGGGTACGACATGGAGGCCTGAGGCCTTCAGTGAGCGGCAGCCGTCTTGAAACAAATTCCCAGCATGCTGATGGTGGATTGTTGATTATTTTATTACGATTGGAGAATACGATCTTTCCAGCCAATGAGTTTTTGAAAGTTTTAGAAGTAACACAATGGTTGTATTACATTCTCTGTTGTTTGGTTTGGGTCAAAATGATACTGCAATGTTGTGCCTTGAGACATCCTCCACAAGAAAATCAAATGGGTTACATTCAAAACGGCCTAATATCTTGCTGGAAGTACTCAAATGGGTTTATTTTGTGTTCCATTCTTTGTGGAACCCAAACATGTAGTAGAGCATTACAACCCAAGGCTGTCCGTGTAATATGGATTGGCTTGGGGCGCAGTTCTTCATTGTGGAGGTATTTGATTGTAACTCTTAGCCAGGCATATTAATTTTGAAGCTATGTTTTGGGTTAATCCCTTCCTGCTTGATGGCCATGTTATGGAAATTCTGCATGAGAATCTGGATTTACATACAGTATGCAAAAGTTTGAAAGTTAGATCTGTTTACCATATACGTACATTAGTCAGGTTATGCATTTCTTGATCATTATTTGTTTTTAAAGCAGGAGAGCAATATTAAGGGACTCGAGAGATCATTTTGGAGAAGTGTTACCTTCTTCGTGGAATTATCATTCATAATAAAGTTTTCCATTAAAATATATCTGCATTTAAATTTTTAATGAATCATGTAGTTAGTGATAAAATGTTAAGGCTAAGAATCATATACATGAGCGTTTACATACAATACAGTATTGTTAAGTATCTCTACCTGTATTTTATTAAAACTGGCAGTGACGTTTAGTATTATGCTAGTTGTTTTAGAACATATTCATTATTTGGTTTATTATTTTTAGAAACAATGAAGGAAATATTGTTGTGGTTTGATATTTGTTGTAAATTTATTGGTCTTTTTCCTTCTTCAGATACTTACTCTCAAGACACATGAAGTCTCACAGTGAAGAACGGCCGCATAAATGTTCAGTCTGTGAAAGAGGGTTCAAAACTTTAGCGTCTCTTCAAAATCATGTTAATACACACACAGGCATCAAACCCCATAGATGCAAGTTTTGTGAAAGCACCTTTACAACGTCCGGTATGTTGGCAAGTAGTTATTGTTGACAAGTTTGACTAAATGTGAAAAATAATTTCTGTTGCTCAAGTAGGAAATAAGTTGTTAGATTGTTTATGATTTTGAATTGCCTCCTCTTGCCAAGTAATAACTCTTTGAGAGACATACTTTGGTCCATAATCTCATGTTGTCTATGAATTTGGGTATCGTTGGTAAGGTTACCTAGTGATTTTTATAATATATCTCGCTTTCTTTTATAGGTATCCCTGGTTGGGTTAATTTATGGTTTGACCATATCTGTTTTCTCGGCTAGAACCCCTTGGTAGTTCTTGTAAGGTGTCAACCTTTAGCACACTTGAGAGCATACAAGGCATTGGAGGGTCTTTCTACTTACAGGGACAAAAACCTTTTCCAAACTTGTCTTGTTTTCAATTGGGCATGAAGCTCAAACCTCCTCCAAAGGAATCAAGCAAAGGGCGCCTGACAGCTGGGTGGACAGTGCTTCGGATTCATAGTCCTGAGGTTCTGGGTTCGATCCCCAGTGGAGGCGGAGACAAATGAGCAAAATGTTTCTTTCACCCTGATGCCCCTGTTACCTAGCAGTAAGTAGGTGCCTGGGAGTTAGACAGCTGCTATGGACTGCTTCATGGGAGGTGTGTAACAAAAAGGAGGCCTGGTCGAGGACTGGGCTGCGGGGACGCTAAGCCCCGAAATCATCTCAAGATAACCTCCCTACTGCCCGACGACTTTGATCACTACTAGGTGATGACCCTACCTGCTTGATGGGGTTCTGGGAGTAGTTCTACTCCCCAAGCCCAGCTCGAGACCAGGCTTGACTTGTGAGAGCTTGGTCCACCAGGCTGTAGCTTGGAGCAACCCGCAGGCCGTTCACAAACTAGGCGTTCAGGAAAGCAGTACACCTCACTTTGAACCCAGCTCTACTACTCTGAAACGACATAGAACAAAGTGTGGGAAGGAAGGTACTAATGTGCCACCCAGACAGGGTCATTTCATTACTTAATTCTCTCTCTCTTTTTCCTGGATTATGACCCCTCACAAGTTTTCCGAGTTTCTTCTCAATGGTGTTACAAAAAGATTAATTATAAAGATGAGAAAAAGTAGCAAAACAATAATAGATACAGAAACAAAGATCTTATTTGGATGGTCACTGTCACTTACTTGACTAAACTCATCTTTCAAAGGACCAGTTTCGTCCCCTTGTCTTTGTTTGGTATGTGTGGAAGAATCCTTTAGGGTTTGTTTTTGCTAACTCAGCTATATGCACTTCATACTTTCTTTTTCCTTTTCTAATATCCATTTTAACCATTTGTGATAGTATGGTAAATTGTTCTAAATACCCTTCCTCATTTTAAATATGCATATATATTTAGCTTTCTTATTTCTGAAAGATGTTTTAGACCAATTGTCGTTCATTTTGGGTTATTATTAGATTTAATACATTTTAATGGTATACTTTGTTCATGTGTGCCAATTAAAATTTGCTTCTGGCCTTGGGGCTACCCTAGGCACGCATGTTGCCCTTTCCCTGACAGCGTTGCTTCCATGATTGGTTCGGGTGTTTGGCCCGAGTGTCACAAGTGTCTTTGGCTCTTCTCGTTTTTTGGGGATTTGGGGTTGTAGTGGCTGATGTATTCTACTGTGTCTGTGTTCACCACTTCTCCCCTTGCTGTCCATCTAGCATAATTTGATGGATGTCTAGTGCAGCCCCCTTGCTCCACGATGTCTTAGGATTTTGGAGTCTTGGCTGTAATTTGCTGTGGGTGTGACTCGGTCTAGTCTGTGGATCGCCCTTCCACATTAGCACCAGAGACAGTTAAGCCATTGATTCCTGCTGGAGATCCATAGCCTTCTGTTTCTCTGGGGTAGTGTTTTTTTTAGCTCAGATCCTAGTGTGTTGATCTGCCTAAGTGTCTGATTGGACATGAAGCATGGAGCTTAGCCCTGCCTCAGGGTCTTCATTTAGGGCTAGTAGGGTTGAGGAGGATCCTGAGGTGGGTTCCTGGGTATCCTTCAACCTTGCCTGGTTTCTGGTTCCCTCCATAGGGAGTTTTCAGCTGTTGATGTTTGAGCTCGATTTCTCTGCTGCTCCTCCCTTGGTTCACTTTCTGTGTATCATTAGTCTTTGGATGCATTGTTTTTAGGTGATTCCCATTCGTCTTGTCTTCTGCCTTTCTCAGCTCAATTGGACATATTTTGGTTCCTCCTGTGGGAGCAAAATTTTGCTTCCTTAACGGACCCAGCCTCTTTTGAGTTTGGGTCAACTTCGTCCTAATTTGGTTACGCTACAGGTTTCCTGGTTCTTCCTGCCTTGTGGACAATCATGTTTTCCTTGGGGCTTAGCACGGCTTCTACCATTCCTGACTGGAGAGGTTGATTAATTTTTCGGTTTTCTTGTGTGGTGCTTTTTTTTTTTTTTTTTTTTTTTTTTTTTTTTTTTTTTTTTTTTTTTTTTTTTTTTTTTTTTTTTGCCTCTGGAGTCTTTCGTTTTTGCTCTTGGACACATGCTTACATCCTGCCCCAAGATGTAAGCATGTGGCAGCTCCTTGTGCAGCATCCTTTGCTTTCTGGAACTCAGGCAGCAGAGAGTTCCAGGGTCTGGGTTCACTTGGCATCCATTTTGCATGTACTCACCTAATTGTGCTTGTGGGGGTTGAGCTTTGGCTCTGGTCCTGCCTCTCAACTATCAATCAACTGGTGTACAGATCATCCTGAGCCTACTGAGCTCTTATCATATCTACATTTGAAATTGTGTATGGAGTGATTGAACTGGTTCAATCACTGGTTCAAGATTGAACCAGTGAAGAGCAGAGATGTCATAGGCACAATCAGAGAGCACTGTATAAAAATCAGAGGTCCGCGGCTGTTCAACGTCCTCCCAGCGACTATAAGAAATATTGCCGGAACAACCGTGGACATCTTCAAGAGGAAACTGGACGGTTTTCTAAGAGAAGTTCCGGATCAGCCGGGCTGAGGTGGGTATGTGGGCCTGCGGGCCGCTCCAAGCAACAGCCTGGTGGACCAGACTCTCACAAGTCGAGCCTGGCCTCGGGCCGGGCTTGGGGAGTAGAAGAACTCCCAGAACCCCATCAACCAGGTATCAACCAGGAGTCAGCCTCCACCACATCACTTCCTAGTGCATTCCATTTATTAACTACTCTTGACACTGAAAAAATTCTTTCTAACGTCTGTGTGGGTGTGGGTTGTGTATGGGTTGTGGTTGAGCTATTCTCCAACCAGCTCCTGTGCAGCCTGGATGCTTTGGTTTCAGTGTTGGGTGTTGTGTCCTTGTTACCTGCAGTTGTGGTTTTGGAGACTTGTCCCAAGTTTCTCGCTCCTTTCCTTTGGGAGGCAGTTGTGGCCTTCTGGCTCGTTTTGTATGGTGGCGTGCAGTGCTTACCTGGTTTTTGTTTTGTTTTAGGGTTTGGTTTGGGCCTCACCTATGGTTGGTCGAGGTAGACTTCAACAGAAGTTGGATTCTTGGGCCATAGAGTCCCTTCCAGTTTTTTGTCATTTTTAGACATCATTGAAGAGTGCTTGTGCTTGTGATTTTTGCATCGATTCATTCACATTCTTTTTGTACTCAGTAGATAGCCATATTCCAGTAAGGTTGTGTGCCAGGGGTATTTTGGCTGTTTTTCCACCCCTTATTCTCTGCTGTAGCATCTGTTCTCATCTCTGCAGCCCAGATGAACTTTGCCCCCACTCCCACTTATAGTTGTGGTGAAATTTCCTGTCGCTTACTTTAGGAAGCAACCAAGAGGAATTGCTAAGAAACCAGGCTATGGGGACTGTGTAATCCAGCTCAGATGTTTGTAGTCATTCATAATAGCATTTTATGGCTCTTTGAAGATGGTGTTTGACTTCTTGGAGTAGGAAAGAGTATTATGGAGTTGAAGTGCTAAGTTTACTTGACTATGAGGCAGTAGGTTCTCTTCCTGTAGCTGAAGCAGCTGTCTGAAAATAAGGTCTTTGCCATAGCTCTAAGTAAAGCTTTAATGAATGGCTTTTTTTTCTTGCCCATTTTTTAATGCTAGTGAAGTGTACATCCCCATTGTTTGTATAGGCATCAAACCCGGTTCTCTTTTCCATAATTTATTATTTTTTCAAGAGTCCTTAATCTCATTCATGGTTTCCCATTGACTCTTCAATTTGCACAGGCACTGTGTCGTCATCCTCAGCTTCGGTTGACTGCGTCACCATGTTTATTATTTCACCTTGGCTCAGTGTTGGTGTAGCAGGGATGTCGTCGTCCATAGTCAAGCCTTTCATCCTCCAGTATTCCCACATTTAACACTGCCTCCCTCCTTTCTGAGAGGACTCTATACAGTTCACTTAGGTAAGAAGTTCTTGTCTTAAATCTTCTTTCTTTCTTCTTATTGCAAAACCTTCAAAATTATCTTCATCATTGCTCAAGCTTGATTTGATATTGAAGGTTTTATTAAAGTCCTCCACACTACAACCATCTTCACAGATACTTGGGTAATGTGTCTTGAAGTGGTGCTTCAAGTTACAAATTGTAGTGATCCAAGGATTGGATAAAAAATTTGGTATTTGGAATAAATAACTAGCAGTAATGTTATTTCCACTTCCCAATTCATACACTTGGATATGTTACTGAATTATCTAAAAGATAGCATAACTTTGCTATTTTGTGGCAGACCAATCATTTTAAAGTGTGCTTTCGCATTTGCACAAAATGTCTAAAAATTCTCCTGGACAATACCTATACTTATTCACGAATATTGCGGGGCAATCTAAACAACAGGTAGAACCTTAGCCACATTGAGTACCCTTTGGGGTGGCATCATGTCTCTCTTTTGTTTGTTATATCATACTGGGCTATCCTAGGACTTTTTGTCTATAAGTTGGGACATGTACTTTAAAATGTTTCCAATTTGTGTTTGCCATTCTCATGGCATATCTCTTCCCTACCAGTCTGTTTCTGCTTTGTTCCGGGTTTTCTTTTCTAGACTGTGAGTTCAAGGTGCGTGTGTACATTGTGTTATTCTCAGCTCATGGAAAAGGGAGGTGAATAGTGCAGCTAACCAGTTGAAAACATTAAGTGACCTTTCATTGTATAATCCAGGGCTACTTTCAATCTTAGTGTGCGCTGGGATATGGAGGATTTGGGGAATTTTTTTGGGGGGTTTGGTATTAATGGAATTGGGTTTGAGCTTGAAGGACCAAATGTTTTCTGTGCTTTTAAGGGAGATTGCTCACCTTGCTCTTCTGTTGGCCTCGGGTGTGGGATATCTGCAGTCACTGGACCCTTGTTTTGGCAGAGTTTTGCTTCGGTCAACAGTCTATCAAGTGATAGTTTATTTCTGAGCTTTTGATATGCTTTTCAGACTCCTACAATCCTGGGTATTGCAGGTATGAAGGTGAAATTTACTACTTTATAAGGAACTCTTTGCTGCTTTAATTTTTGCAGCATATGAAGAAGTGAACTTTGATTTTGTTCCTGCTGGTAGCTCGTCTGGTGGACACGAGGTAAGTAAGCTTACCTTTTGGCTGGCAACCTGATTACCAGCCATTGTTTTGATCTCCGGAGCCCCAATGCTGCCTGTGGATTGATATCCCATTGGCAGCCTTGGGGGGCTGTGTTAGGAACTACATGTCTGGTGAGACAGGATGTCCTCTGGACGTCACTCCCTGTATCCACCAGTGTCCTATGTTTGGGTTCATGTTTGGGCCTTCAACCTGGTCCCCTCTTTCTGTGTTAGAAGAATGGTCCGGGCTTACCAGGGTGGCCACAGAGGACCTTCCTCAGTTTTCCTGACCTGTCTTTGAGTCTTGTTCTTGAGTCATGGGGCCTGTGACAGGTGGGGATATGGTGTAGTTTTTATTTATTTATTTATATATACAAGAGTTGTTACGTTCTTGTACAGCCATTAGTACGCGTAGCGTTTTGGGCAAGTCCTTAATTCTATGTTCCTGGAATACGACCCCCGCGAAGAATTGTTTTTACAACCAGGTACCCATTTTACTGTTGAGTTAAACAGAGGCTACAGTTAAGGATTTGCGCCCAGTAAATCCTCCCCGGCTAGGATACGAACCCATGACAAAGCACTCGCGGAACGCCAGGCGAGTGTCTTACCACAACGCCACAGAGACTACTTTCCCAATTTGAGTTGACCATTCATCAGGGCCTACACAATAGTGTTGCTTTTGACCACGTCGTGATGCAGTCGACTAGAGTGCCTGGGAACACCCAGTGCATAGGTTCGAACTCTCGTCAAGGCTCCTGTTGGATTTGTTCAATAATAATAATGTTTATTCAGGTAAAAGTACGTACATACAAAATGAGTTACAGAGTGTTGGATTTCTAGGTAGAGCTGGTATATACTATGCCTAAAGCCACTAGTACGTACAGCGTTTCGGGGCAAGATGTGGGAAAAACACTTAAAAACTACAAGTAAAGTATTATATAAAGCAAAAGTATTACTACATAATAAAGTATTGTGTGTGTACAGTGGTGACTTCTAATATTAGAGAATATATTTACAGGAGAGTACATAATAATAATTCTTGTATGGTAATGAATGTGAATAGTGTAAAAGCCTTCACATGAACACACTTATGTGCATGTGAGTGGCAACCTACAACCTTGTCATCTGAGAATGTCTCTATTGTTTCCTGTTCTTCATTGCCTCTAAGATATATAGTTGAGGCTTACGTGTTAATAATATGCATACTTGGCAGGAATGGCAACAATGATTATTAACTATAATATTATTCGTTGTAGTCGCACCTTTCTTGTCAAGAAGCAATCATACCATGTTGATTAAATTTTATTGCTGTGTTTTTTGTCTTCTTATCAGGTGAGCTTGTTCGGCATGTTCGCTACATCCATACCCACGAAAAGCCGCACAAATGTCCAGACTGTGATTATGCTAGTGTGGAACTTAGCAAGTTGAAACGGCACATGCGCTGTCATTCTGGAGAGAGACCCTATCAGTGTCCACATTGTACCTATGCTAGTCCCGACACATTTAAGCTGAAGCGACATTTAAGGATTCACACCGGAGAAAAACCTTACGAGTGCGAGATCTGTCATGCCCGTTTTACGCAATCCAATTCTTTGAAGGCCCACAGGTTAATACATACAGGTAGGTAGATAAGGCTTGAAAATGTATGGTGCGTTCTAAACAATAGGGTTTAGAACGCAGAAAAAATTCTTCCGTGGCTTAATTTGTGATGTCTATTGAGTATATAAGGGCTGTATAATTTTACTTCCTTGAGTTCTCATGGTGTCAGCAGTGTCATCTTATTGTTCAAGGCATTCATAGTTGTGCTGATTTGTAGGTATCTTATCCGTGGAAAAGGAAAAAGGATGCAGAGCTTATACTTTCCAATAAATTGCATTTTGTCTCTTTTATTGTTGTTTTCCCCCTTCCCCTTCTTTCACAGTAGCACAATCTTGTGTTCAGATTGCACTTATCTGCAGATGCTTGTTCTTGCAAAACTCTTGTGAGCCGAGTCATAGATGCCTGCAATTGCTTTCACCACTGGCAGACCAGAGGGATAGTCTGTCGGGTTACTGAGTGGGTGAAGACGTGGGTGTTGTAGAGAATAGCCCGACCACTTGGGCTGGACGGTAGAGCGACGGTCTCGCTTCCTGCAGGTCGGCGTTGAATTCCCGACCGTCCAAGTGGTTGGGCACCATTCCTTCCCCCTCAACCCATCCCAAATCCTAATCCTAACCCTTTCCAAGTGCTATATAATTGTAATGGCTTGGCACTTTTCCCCTGATAATTCCTTCCTTCCTTCCCTACCCCATACAATTGGAATGAAGTAGAAAGATCAGGATTATTACATATGCTCTTGAACATCACATATTTATGACTCGTGATGCAGTGGACATTTGTTTTGGCCTTACCCACTTATCAAATTTTGTAAGCATCAAAATAATATGGTAAAAATACTAGCTATCATGTATTTAGATAATTGACAATGAAAGAGGAATTCTGTGTTTGGATGTTGCATCAGGGAACAAGCCGGTATATGCCTGTGAGCTATGCCCGACGACGTGTGGACGGAAGACTGACCTCAGAATACACGTACAGAAGCTCCATACCTCGGACAAACCCTTGAAGTGCAAGAAATGTGGCAAGGCCTTCCCAGATAGGTAAGGTGTTTTGAATTCAACGTCAGATATTGATATTCGTATACATTTTCTGCTGGAATTTTGGATTTATACTGACATTTAAATATTCTCCAAGATTTAGGATAGTTGTCTGTGCATGTCAGATGCCCTATTATTCTACTAATCCATTTTTACTATAAGTAAATATTAAATTGAAACAAATGTTAATTCAAGCTTCAGCACTCAGAAATGAGGGTTTCACCAATCTCGACCTCTTCTTTTGGTTTTAAATTATGTATATTAGTGGCAATATTTCAAAGACAAATTTTTTTTTCAGGTACACCTTCAAACAGCACAACAAGTCTCATGAAGGAGAAAAGTGTTTTAAGTGTGATCTGTGTCCTTACGCTTCAACTTCTGCAAGACATCTAGAGTCCCACATGCTTGTACATACTGAACAGAAGCCTTACCAATGTGATCAGTGTGACCAGGTGAGGGAGTCTGAGTTGAGTAAGTTTCATCTTAGAAGTATTAATCGATGTTTCCTAGTCTTATGGGATAAATTCACATAAAGAATCAAACATTTTGCCAATAACTTCAATCATCAGTGTCTGTACTACATAGTACAGTATGCACTATGGACATATTGTAAATAGTACTGTATGTACTATGCTTTGTGTATTACAGCTTTTTGTATTGTGTGGTTTCCTAGTTATTCCACTTGGTTGCTCCTTTAAGGCCGAAGTCCTTTCTCACTGTTCAAAATGATCGTAAACAGTCTGGGTTGGTAGACACTGCGCAAGAGAACAAGTAATCCGTTTAAATTGTTTTTGCTGATTTATTCTAGTGCTAATAAGATACTATGGAAAGACTGGGTCCAGTTTGAAATGGCCTATACAAGGTTCGTTCATGATCAAAGCTCTTTCAAACCTTAAGCTTGGTATCACAGGGTTTTCTGAATCAGTTCTCCTTACACTCTTCCTAATTGGTTCCCAAATCATTTGCAGTAGGCAGAAATGAGTACGGTATTCAGTTATGTGACTTGTTGTTTTCCAGAAAGATTCAGGTGTGTATGTGTATACAAATTGTTGCTGGTCACTTGACTTTTGACCAACCTGCTTTTGAAAGATATCTTTACAGGCACTGGGTTGTCAGTGCTTCAATAGTGGTTATCTTCTTGGAGAGTCAGACTTCACAGTTGTTTGGAACTTTTTTTCTGTGGACATAAAGTACATAAGTGCACTAGTTATTTTACTATGGGAACACTGCAGAGCTGGAGTAATGAAGTGAACTACTGAGAAAGGGGCATTTCATAGTCATTTAAAGCTTTATATTTCTAAAGCTTATGGCAAATTGGCTTTGATTAGTACATATATTTAGAACTGACTGTAGCTGTTGAAGTATTAATAGTGTTTTCATGTCCTATTTGCATTGGATATTTATTGTGATGGTTCTATCTCATGGAACAATTTTTTCATGTCTAGGCCTTCCGTCAGAAGCAGCTGCTGAAGCGACACCAAAACCTGTACCACAACCCAGAATACATCCCACCCATGCCCAGAGAAAAGACGCAAGAATGTCCAGAATGTGGCAAGGCATTTAGACATAAAGGTATAATACTGTACTTGTACGGGTTTTTCTTTTATTTGTAAGTATTGATTTGAATTGCAAGATTCCAGATATCTTTAGAATGATTTCCCCCACATATGCTAAAAGCTTATTAACATGCTTATTAATACCTCACTGTCTCAGTTGCCTGGAGAGGGGGGGTATATCTGGGGGTTAAATACCCCGGAATTCCCACCTCTTTAGGGCTCTTGAGTATGTTGTAGTGGATTTATGTGCGTACCTGCCATCTTGATGGCCAGGGTTCGAGTCTCCTGCTGGGCGAGTTTGAGTAGTTTGGCATGTTGATTGTTTTGGGTGAGATCTTGCTCCTGGGCCCAGCCTTCTAGCTATGTTGGTATATGGTACGTCTGTATCTTTAGCGCACAAAGTGTAGTGCCTATGGTACGTTGTAGGAATGAATAAGCAGAAATTCACCAAATTGCTGTTCATATTCCTTGTACCAAATGATACACTGGATAGTCTTAATTAATATTACAGGGACTGAAATGATTTGTTTTATTATTTAAATTTTTCTGCTGCTCTTCATTCTGGATACTGTATCTATAGAATGAATCTCATAATATAGACTACAAAATGTAAGCAAATATTTTTTAATATTTAATTCGTTCTGTCGGGGGACAGGAAACCAGAGTGTATTCATACACGTTTTGGCTTTTATTGTGGCCCCCCTCTCCCCCCCCCCCAAGGCTGAATTACTGACCTCACCCAGGATGCAACCCCACAACAAACAAGGAGTTGAAATTGCGAGGATACCTAAATTTTGCTCTGTTGATCGGCAACAAATCACTACCCTGACTGCTACAAAATGACAGCACTGGCTACTACGAGAGCTACAGGGGGGTAGCTGCTCAAAAAGCTTTAGTTTATAAAACCCTTATGTACCTGGTTAATACCTGGTTGATGGGGTTCTGGGAGTTCTTCTACTCCCCAAGTAGTATGTAGTTTTACTTCTTTCTAAAGATGCCTCACAATATTAAATGAGACACTTTAACTTAAGGAGCTAGATTGCTAATTAGGAAATGATTTGTTGGTGTGGGAATTATATCTTATGATTCATTTAATAAAGTTGTGCTAACATAGTTACCTTCCTTTGGCCTAATAGAATTGATTCATTGGATAAGAGATGGGGATATATATTCTTTTTTCTTTATTGTAATTGATCCATATGTTTATAATTTCAAAAAACTTCTATTTTGTTTCTTGTAGCTATGTATTTGTATGAAATTCTCACAAGTTCTGATATTTATTTTCTACATTTAATGTTTTCAAGGTAACCTCATTAGACATATGGCTATCCATGATCCCGATGCTTCAGCACAAGAAAAGGCACAAGCACTCAAAATTGGAAGACAAAAAAGATTACAACTTATTAATGGTCAACAGGTGAGGGTTTTATTATTATATCTCTATTTAACTGTAGTTTCTGTATAGGCTCTCTCGGCAGGTTCCTAAGCTGATGTGGTGATACCATTAGGTCTTAGATCTTAATAGTGATCTTAATGGTGTTAACTTTACAAATAACCTTGTATTTGTAAAGTTAACCATTCTATTATTGTGTGATTTTTGTGTTTGTCAGTGGGAATCACTTTACTAAGGCATAATGTTGGGAATCACTGCACTAAGGCATAAGGTTGGGAATCACTGCACTAAGGCATAAGGTTGGGAATCACTGCACTTAGGCATAAGGTTGGAAATCACTTCACTAAGTCATGAGGTTGGGGGAATCACTGCACTAAGGCATAATAACCTTGTCTCACTTTCTGCACACTGACTTGTGCCTCTGTGTTAACTAAACTACATCCACTCCTTTGGCCATTTTTGAACTGCTATAGACCAAAGTACACTTAACCCTTTTCTCAAAATGTCTCTTTGTTCTTGAGAACTGGTACAACCCTTTGCCCAAAGTATAAATGGTTCTTTTACCCCAGGTGGAGATGTACACTGGTGACGTTGATGAGGATGAGATAATGGCCGTAGAGGGTCAGGACGGTAACCAGTATGTCGTCCTGGAGGTGATACAGCTTCAGGTAAGGATGCATGTTACCCCCCGGGTGTTTGTTTACATTTTAATTAGAGAATGTGAAGGCAAGTTGAGGAATGAATTGGAAAGCATGTATTAATAAACTGAAATTGGGGCTTGAAATTTTTTTTTTCCTAGGCAATTGAGCCAGGAAGCTTCCTGGTTTGAAAAAGAATTTCCTAGTCTTATTTGTATTGGACCAAAGATAGATTAAGTACTCCACGTATAATAAATAATTGTATAGTATACTGTAATGAAAATCAGTTTTAATTATTATTTAATGGCAAATGGCAAGATGGGTGTGTGTACATTTGGAGCTGGGAAGTAATATAAATTTATATAGGCATTGAACAGTAACAAACCCTCGAGTCCCAAAAGGCTGTTAATGGAAGAGGAATGATGGAAATATATTGGCATTTTCAGGATGGCGAAGGTCACGTGATGATGTCTGATGGTATTGCTGTCACTGATGGTACGCTTGATGGCTCAGGGGTGTTGAGCTCCTCACCTCTTATGGGCCCAGAAACAATAACTGGAGATACTATAGGCAAGTGTAGTATTAATCTTCAAAATATTTTCATCATTTGTAATAGTATTAACCCCTGCACTATGCACCTGGTTTTGGCAAAAACTTCATCGTGTAATTGTTAATGACAAATCTTTGTTTATTTTTAAATGTTCAGGTAATATCAAAATGTTTACAAACTCAACCATATTCATTTCAAAACACAAAGAGTAATGAAAACATAAAAACATTAAAATATCGCCTAATTAAAAAAAATAGCATAACTCTCAGAGCGCCTCAAGACACTTTGCAGAGTGCGGTGGTTAAATGATACTAGTGTATTATGGATAGATGTTCTACTGTATAGTGCTACAACGCCAGTTTACAAGCATATTTATATGAGTGAATGTGAGAGATGATGATGAAAGGCTGAGGTGTTTTATGAGCCAAAAACTTCCCTTACTTCAGGGAAACCAGGGCACTAATTTACACTTGAGCAATTTCAATGTAATCCAGAATAAAAAAAGGAATATTTATATTATTTAGATATACAATGCATCCTCCCAAATCCAGACCTCCCTTTACATGTTCCTCTAAACACCTGGCCAAATTTTCCCACCAGCTTCAAAATAAGGATCTTTTCCAACGTGGCAAATGATTGTCATATTGGTCTCTAGTGTCGAAGGACATCCAAATAGAAACAGTGAGACTTGAATATTATGGTGATTCGAGCACAGCCAGCTATCGTTTCAGTTTGATGGGAGCAGTTTAAGGGTTAAAACTTGGAATTACCAAAGCATTCATCTCCAGAGAGCTATTGAGGGTCCACCAGAAAAGGGCTTTTCTATACATTGTTCTATTTTTTTTAATTGTGTATTTATTGAATAGAATCCCAGTGCAGGTGTTAAAATATTATGTTGACGAAACCACACACTAGGAGATAAAGACGACGATGTTTTGGTCTGTCCTGGACATTATCACAATTGATCTGATAATGGTCCAGGACGGACTAAAACATCTTCGTCTGGTGTGTGGTTTGGTCATCATTTTATCAGCCATGTTATTGTGACTTTATCTGCGTTAAAATAATATTTTATTTGTAATATCACAAGAAATTTAGGATACTGTTTTCTCGCATTTAGTGCATCTTGAAGGCTCTCTTGATCTCATGCATAGAATGTTTATTTAATTTGAACTTGTAGTACTGTATTTAACATCCTAAAATGGGAAGTAATTGCTTTTGATTGTTCAAAAGATTATTTGACTGAGGTGGTAAATTTGGTATTTAAGACCCAGTAAGTTATTTGGTTTTGTTGGGTGTATACTATTGTTTTGTTCAGGTATTCATTGGGCATTGTAATTGTAAACCATGAACAAATCCACAATTTGCCTTAATCGTCAAATCCTCGTCACGGTCCTTGTGGATTTGTTCATTTGATGCATCACGCAATTGTGATTTCTGTGTGTAATTGTAAACCATCTTGCAGGTTTAGTTTCCGAGTCTTCTCTTTTGGAGCTTCAGCACAAGAAAACCGAATTAAAAACGGAAATTAGTGAAGAGGCCAAGAAGGAGGCTCAGAAGGAGATGGAGACATGCTTTGGCTTTGACGTAAGTTTGTATTCGTTGAACATTTGGTATAGAGTAGCCGTTGATTTGATTCTTTGGCTTGGGACCTTCCCATTTTTTGTTTTTGTAATGAGGGATAGTTTTGTGTAGAATGTTTCCATCTGCCTTTAACTTTTTTTGCCGTAGAAAACACCTGCAGTCACCCAAAGTCCTGGGGTCAGATTCACGAAGCAGTTACGCAAGTACAACTCCCAGGTACCTATTTACTGTTAGTTGAACTGGGGCATTAGGTGAAAGGAAACATGTTCAATCATTTCTGTCCCACCCGGGATCCCTGATTGTGAGTCAAGAACTAAGCCAATTGTACTACGAGACTTCTGACACTCAATAGCATGCAGAGCTTTCCCTTTTGTATAGTACAACCCATCTTGAGGTTATCTTGAGATTATTTCGGGGCTTAGCGTCCCCCGCGGCCCGGTCCTCGACCAGGCCTTCTTTTTGTTACACCCCCCAGGAAGCAGCTGTCTAACTCCAAGGTACCTATTTACTGCTAGGTGAACAGGGGCATCAGTGTGAAAGAAACTGCCCATTTGTTTCCTCCTCCACTGGAAATCAAACCTGGAACCTCAGGACAATGAATCCGAAGTGCTGTCCACTCAGCTGTTAGGCCCTCAGGCTATGTTCATACCCTCCAGCAGCTGACCCCAAAAATGTGTTCGTGAATTAATTCAGAATAGGAATTTTCTCAAATATAAGTTATTATTCTGTATCAGCATATTGTGCATTTTTAGGCATAGGTATTTAGGCTCTGTTGGCAATTATTTACAGTATGTGGGTGAAGCATTTAGTTGTGATTCAAACAGAAGTCTTCAGTGAAGCATTATTTGATAAATGTTTGAACATCTTCAGTTGTGAGTCCTGTGAAAAACATTTTACATTCATAAACAGAGGGTTTGACAGCTGCATGAAATGGACTTTGGTATTTGTTGATGAGGGTGGGACTGCATGGCAAGCCTTACCCCTACTAGTTTTTCACTGGAACATAACTTGCCAATCAGTTTCAATTAATGGCAGCCTTCATTACGGTCTAAGCTGAATTTTAACCCTCACTATCACTTAGCTCAGCCAAAGGGTTAACATAATGCTGAAATTATGAGAGGGAAGGTAAAAGGATATGAAAATGGTGTCAAGCACCTCCATGGTAGAGTACTTGTTGTGGGCAACATTTAAGCAGACATCACCTAACTTGCACCTAAAAGATAGTGCTTAAAGAATAAATAATTGGATGTTAAAAGAAAAAAAAGATAATCAAAATCCCTCAAACTTTATGAAATATCTCTTGGACTTGAAAGTTGTGCAGAAGTAGATTTTGTTCATGGGGATAAATGTTGCTGGTAAATTGTTCCGTCTCTAGGCACAGGTAAGGTAATTGTCAGGAGAAAGCACTAAGCCAAAACAACTATAAGGCACTTGTAAGGGCTATGAAGATAGGATGGAGGAAATGAATGGTACCCACTCACTCTGATGGTTGGGGGATTGACTGCCAACCTGCAAGAAGTGAGGATGTTGCTCTACTATCCAGTTGAGGTGGTCATCCTATCCTAAATGCTTATCCTCATATCCCTTCCAAGTGCTGTACAGTTATAATGGCTTAGTGTTTTCTTAATGCTTAGTGTTATACAGTAAATTATTTAGATGCTTACTTTTGATAATTATTTTGTTTGGATGTAACTGTTCTCAAATATTTTGATGATGTTAGGTGAAGGAGATATTTCTGCAATGCAAACATTCTTAGCCTTGACCTATACATTATATAATATACAGTACAGTATATAAATTTTTATCAGTATATTTTGGGAGCAGGTTTTCTCTAATACACATGTCATTAAACACAACAGCATTGTGACTATTATTATTTTTTTTTATATTTTCCATTCTATGCAAATATCTTCTACCATCTAAAGGGTGAAAAAACACTAGATCACTTAATCTTTCCATGTTTATTGTTCGACATTTTGTCAGCAATGTGACATCTTCAGGAGTACACACTGTAGAACTGACTCAGGTATACCGAGTTTACAAGATTGATGAAGATTTAGCCACACAAGAGGTGGCACAGGCATGAATAGCCCATAAGAGTTTACAAGGAGAAATCTAGACATTTATAAGAGTGGGTACACCCGACCCTACGATTCACTTGACCCCCTTAATCATAGGGAGTGGCAAAGGATAGGGTGAGGTGATTGTTGCCCGACTCCGGCTTCTAGCTATCCGCCAGGTCTTACATCTTCCCTCTGGATCAATGGAAGACCATCGAACAGTTGTATACTCGAAGTCGAGTTCATCTGGATGTTGATTACTGGTGTCAGCTCCTGAATGAACACAGCCTCAAGCATACGAAGCCTCCTACGATCGTCTGAGCTTGTGATTACTGTCATATCTTTCACTATGTCTTGGTGATTAAGGATGGTGTTGTGGTATGATGTTGCTGAATACATCTGTCTTGCAAATGAAACATTTGAAGTCTACTCATTTTAAGTTGATTATGCTTCATTTGCAAGACAGAGGTATTAAGCAACATCATACCACAACACCATCCTTAATCACCAAGACATAGTGAAAGATATGACAGTAATCACAAGCTCAGACAATCGTAGGAGGCTTCGTATGCTTGAGGCTGTGTTCATTCAGGAGCTGACACCAGTAATCAACATCCAGATGAACTCGACTTCGAGTATACAACTGTTCGATGGTCTTCCATTGATCCAGAGGGAAGATGTAAGACCTGGCGGATAGCTAGAAGCCGGAGTCGGGCAACAATCACCTCACCCTATCCTTTGCCACTCCCTATGATTAAGGGGGTCAAGTGAATCGTAGGGTCGGGTGTACCCACTCTTATAAATGTCTAGATTTCTCCTTGTAAACTCTTATGGGCTATTCATGCCTGTGCCACCTCTTGTGTGGCTTAATCTTCATCAATCTTGTAAACTCGGTATACCTGAGTCAGTTCTACAGTGTGTACTCCTGAAGATGTCACATTGCTGACAAAATGTCGAACAATAAACATGGAAAGATTAAGTGATCTAGTGTTTCTTCACCCTTTAGATGGTAGAAGATATTTGCATAGAATGGAAAATATCCAAAAGAAAATTTATAATAATCACAATGCTGTTGTATTTAATATATATACATATACACACATGTATACATACAATTTTTTTTTACAGGATGAGGATGAAGGGCAAATTCACCTGGAATTTGGAGAATGAAAAAGGGATCAATATGGAATTAAGTATATGCATAAATTGTATATGTGCAGATAAGGTTTCTCTTTGAAGTCATATGCTAACTTTGTGACATTTGTGCTGTGATTTATTTTTGTGGTGCCGGCATGATGAGCAGAGCAAGTCTGCTTGAGCTTTAGAAGGAATTCCTGCTATTAGTGAGACATGGTAGCTTTACTCCAGCCATGATCTGAAGACTGTTGAACATGAACATGGCTGGAGTCTCCCACCACTCCTGACCTGTTTATCAGGTTGTACTGTAGTCATACTTCAAGATTCCATAGTAGTCTACATCAACCAAATGTATTTATGCTTATGTGAATTATGTTTGCCTCTGTGAGGCATTGTATTGTGTAAACTGATGGTAAGATGTGATGTCAACTTCATTGACAGTTTGAATTGGGTTCACAGCTTGCACAGCTTACCAAGTCTTGTTTCAATTGTAAATAGCTTAAACTATTTAATTATTTAGTTGTTTTCTTCATCCTTGACATTAGGGAAATTATTAAGTAGTCTATACATTTTTTCAGTAACTCCTTGCCTTGTATTTAATTTAGTTGTTTTAAACATTAAATATCTTGTTTCATACCTTTAAAGTTTGTTCAGAGCAGGAGAAAAGGTAGTGTACACGAATTCATTCTCAAATATTGTATAAACCAAAGCACTCAATTTATGGAAATGTAGGCATTATGTCTTTTTATATTACATTTTATATGCATGGAATACATCTTCTAATAACTACAGTACAGTGTATTTATATTTCTCGACGACAACAATTTACTGTAACGGTAAAAGGATGTAGGGCAACAGAATGAGATGCAATAGGTAACATTTGTGTAACAAAACAAAAAAATGTTGTGCGTGTCTACAGGTAATATAATGAAACCTTTAACTTTTTGTTTGTATCATGGGCACAAATGTTTTATTTGTAAATGAAGTGTTTGAAATTTATAGTCAAAGGACAGTGGCCTGTCTGTTCAAATTAAAAAAATTACAAAATGGTAACAACAAAAATTATAGTGCAATATTTTTAAGTTATTAAATAATAATTTAAAAAGTTTATATAGTGTAAATATGTAATTATATTCTGTAGCTAGTTAAGTATGTTGTAACCTGAACACACACACCTGTTGTACTTTTTTTTTCCTATGAATTTTCCTCAGGAATAAAATAAATATTTATTAAAATATTTTTATTTTAGTCTTGCAATACATACATACATCTTACCCTGAATTTAGTTTCAGTACACTATGAACCATTCAAAGAAATGTGCCTAAATTAAGTCCTAACTCAAAAAATAATTTATCTGCATCTAATATAGGTCACTCATTCACCTGTTATCCACCATATTGGCCTTGACAACATGTAGCTAGAATCTACAATATAGAAAATTGTAGGTCAACATATGGAAACTATTGTAAATTGAACTTGAATTAATAAACAAAATCAAATTAGAAAAAATGACCATCATATGCTGAACAGCTGCGTTATGTCAACCATTATTGGAAATTCAGATACCTTAACTTCCTTTTGTAAATACAGAACTGTATGTTATCATGGCGGAGTGTGGGCCGAGCCCTTGCGATGATTTCGGGGCTCGACGTCCCTCAGGCCCTTCACTGGGACGTGGAGTCATTTAGCACTACAATATGGAAAGCTTAATTTAACAATAGGAAGATTATTTACTGTAGTAAGAAACGTTTGCAGGCTATTACCTTCAAAATGAATTTTTATAACAAATGTGGCGGTTCTTAAATTTAGAAATTCTATATATATATAAAGAAAGAAATTGAAATATACTACACTTCTCTAAATTTAACTTATCTTTAGAATCGGAAATGAACCACATATTAACATGAACATATGCCATGGGGCTTGTTAATGTAACAATACATTTAATAATTACTTTAAACCAAATAAATACAATTATCTGGAGCACATAAATAATTCACTTGATTTGGAATGAAGTTTATCATTAATATTAGGGTCAGAAAAATTTAACTTTTTTATTTAAATACTTATATTAGTTTAATTTAATTTATAATTACAGAATTTTTTCACGCAGTTTTGACAATATCAAGATTGAACTTGAAAGCTAAACAAATTTCACAAAGTTCTGAAATAAATCTTCAGAAAATTAATAATAATTACTGTATCAATCACTCATGTGCAATGTGCTTAAATTTTATATTTCTTTAAATTTTGACAAAGTCCATGAGGATTCCTTAATACAGTACTGCAAGCCTTCCTACCCAATGTATAATTGACAAATGTGAAGGAAATGCCATACAAGAAGGAGCAGCCTTTACGAAAGATGTATTACCTTGGATAAGCTGCTTAATGACAGTCTAACCATTAGACAGTGGTTATCATAAACTGTTGATTCACAGGGTAATGCGGTAATCGTCATATGAAGATTTAAAACATTGTTTGGATTTAACATGTATGATGCAAATGTGGATATAAAAGCCTTGTGGATGTAAATAAAGAAACACAATTGCCGGACCAACCAGGCAGTGGTGGGTATGTGGGCCTGCGGGCCGCTCCAAGCAACAGCCTGGTGGACCAAGCTCTCACAAATCTAGCCTGGCCTCGGGCCGGGCTTGGGGAGTAGAAGAACTCCCAGAACCCCATCAAGCAGGTATATGTGGCCCTACGGGCCGCTCCAAGCAACAGCCTGGTGGACCAAACTCTCACAAGTGAGTAGAAGAACTCCCAGAACCCCATCAACCCATCAAGCAGGTTAAATGATAAGACAATCAGTGAAACATCAGAGAATAAATCGGGAAGTGTTGTCAAGTGCCCGACGCAGCCTTATGTATGCATCTGTCACCCAGTGAAATGGTAAATATTAACTTATGTTCATGTTTTTCTTATATTCTGCACACAAATTAATAATTCTATAATGGAAAATTAATTTTTGGAATTTTTTATTTTTTTTTTGTGCATAGGCAGGTATGACCATTTCTACATAGCCACTGTCTAAGGGTTAAGTGATAGGAAACTATTAAAAGGAAATGCTTTTTAAAATACTCACATCTTGTGTTGATGCTACACCTTATCACCCTTTTACTAGTTTTCCGTATTTTAATTCCTTACTGCTATTTCTCTCTCGTCTATTTTCTTCCTTTGGGCTGTAGAGGGTGACTAACGAGGTTGGATTTCAATGTAAACATTCCATTTCGGTGCAAATTCATTCCCAAAATACATATTTTGTTTAAAGCTTTCAGCATGTGATGTATCTCACTTACTGGGAAATTGAATACCAGTAATGTTATTAACTAATAATATCTTCAGTTTTGTTAACTATGAAAGATAAAAAAAAATTGCAATTACACCAACTTTCATGCCCTAAAGACCTAAGCAACCATGCACCAATATAAATAAACTACTCTCCCACTGCAGTACTTCTACTGAATTCTGCCAATGAATTTTATGAATATGAATTCTCTTATGCCCTTAATATAAAACATTCAGCAAACAAAAATATTCTGAGCATCCATCCACTAAAATATTTACATAAATAAAACATAAATATGACAACTAGTTACTCAATACATTTAGTAAAAATATGCTACATACACCCTAAAAAAAAAAATATTTTTGCTGAATAAACCTATAGATTTGTTTAAAATCTTCAAAGAATGGAATGGGAGTTTTGTCTGCGCCGATTTTGCCATTTCTGAACCTCTCGAATAACAAGCCGTGTCAAGAGCTGAAATAGACAATGTGGCAGCTTAGGAAAACATATTTATGTATATTTTAAAGAGTAGAGTGAATAATTACTAACCAAAACAGTTGACCAAAGGTTAATTTACTTAACTCACCTTCCTACCTTAGCATATCTTTCTGGAAAAAAACAACCTCTCATATTATAAAAAACAAGTTACACCCAAGTGTTACGACCTTCCAACCAGCACGATGAAATATTTATGTATATACATACTGTACACACATTATAATATCAACTCTAATATATGTTATATTAGAATTATATGAATATGTTTACGGATGATGCTAGAGGCTGGGGAAGATGGAGACGCAGACGATTGTCACACCCTTCAAATTTATCTAGATAAAATGTGTGCTTTGAACAATATGTGGCAAATGGAATTCAATGTGAATAAATGCCATGTTATGGAATGTGGAATTGGAGAAAATAGACCACACAAACTTACAAATTATGTGGAAAGGATTTAAAGCACTCAAATAAAGAATGAGATCTAAGGGTGGTTTTAGAGCCACCCTTAAAACTGTCTGGAAACTGGAAAATGGTCTGGAAACTGTCAGATGTGGAACACAAAGAACATTGTGCGAGAAGCATATGTGTCACTTTCCAACTCTGACTCGCTTTTAATTACTGTACATGGATTGGAAATACTGAAGAAACTGGTCATGACTTGCAAGACCAAAATTGGAATTTGCAGCAGTTGTATGGTGCCTAATCTCAAGAAGCACATCAATGAACTGGAAAAGGTGCAAAGGTATGCTACAACATGACTTCTGGAACTAAAAAACAAAAGTTAGAGAGAGGCTAGAGGCATTAAATATGCCAAAGCTAGAAGATAGAAGAAAAAGAGACGATACGATTACCACTCGCAAAATAACAATAGGAATCAACCAAATTGACAAAGAGGAATTCCTGAAACCAGCAATTTCATGAACAAGAGGACACAGATTCAAACTAAGGAAACAAAGGTGGCAGAAATAGAAAGTTTCATTTTGCAAACAGAGGGGTAGACAACTGGAACAAGTGAGATGGTGGTGGAAGCCAAAACCATCTGTAGTTTCAAAGCATTATATGACAAAGTACTGGGAAGACGAGACACCACGGGTATAGCTCTCATCCTGTAACTACACTTAGGTAATTACACACACACACACACACACACACACACACACACACACACACACACACACACACACACACACACACACACAATATACAAATGTAACTTTAACCCTTGTCATCAACAGTTGGCTCTGAAGATCAAATAAGCTACACTAAACAAATTATTTTCTCGAGTGTAAACATAAAACAAAAAGATAACTTTTAACCCTTAAAGATAATTAAACAACAAAACCAATCCTAGTCATATACATAAAAATATAAAGAGTATTGTATGACTTTTCTTGCCAGAGTATCGCATTATTCAGTTTACTGTACTGTAATATTAAAGAAAAAATAAATATGGAGCAGAGAACTGTTTCAATATAAATATAATAAAATTATTGTTAGAACAATATTCTTCCGCTGATTCTTCCACTGCATTTTGTGGCCGAGCACCAAACGTCAATTAGGCTCATGATGCGGCTGGTGCCTGTTAGTGTTTCAGTATGTGTTAATGTGTCCCCACCGTCCCCCATACCACTCTCTTGCGCCTTCACTGTGTATACTCCCATATCTAACATTCCCTAAAGGAATAACATTTGCCTACACAATTTTAAGTCAATTAAAATACTTTTTTCCTGCTGTGTCACCAAAGTTATCCAGCAATGTGAAATTCATCTTCATTACCTACACCATAAGGTCACCATTGATCATCAAGAGATAGGAGCTGCTCTTTTCAGTAGTAAACCAATTGGTTTGCCTATCAAAAACCAATTATATGGGCGCATCCAATCCCACGATCGTCTCCCCTAAATCAACACAACAAAACCAATTATATATTTCTATTACAAGGCCTGTTAGCATTACTTGCACAAAACATAAAAGAACAGAGGTATGAATGATTGTACTTACAAGGAGAGCCAACACATCAGCTACCATAAGCATATAGAAGACGTAGTCCCAATCAAGATCCGATACAGGGCCAGCGATTAGTGGTCCAACTGCAGCTCCTGTATATACACAAAAGATATTTGATTAACTTGTCATTCAGAAAACCTGTAGACTTTAATACAGTATTTTACTAATACCAAATCCAGGAATTAAGGGCCCTAAACCAGCTTTTATAATACAGTACGTTTTCTTTTTATTGTCATTACAGTATAACGCTCAGATTATTACAGTAGTTACATTTTGGAATTTAAAAAAAAATTGGTCAACTCAAGTTTTTTTTTTTTTTTTTTTTTTCGTTTTTACTGTCAACTATACACAAAAATAGGCAATAATGCCAAACAGCATTTTTTCGTTTTGTTTTTGCAAAACAAATGGCCTTTCTTGAGATGATTTTGGGGCTTAGCTTCCCCGTGGGCCGGTCCTTGACCCAGCTTTCTTTTTGTTACCCCCCAGGAAGTAGCACATAGCAGCTGTCTAACTCCTAGTTACCTATTTACTGCTAGGTGAACAGCAGCATCAGGGTGAAAGAAACTGCCCATTTGTTTCTGCCTCCACCGGGGATCGAACCCAGAACCTCAGGACTACGAATTTAGAGCACTGTCCACTTAGCTGTCAGACTCCATTGGTGCCTGACTAAAGTGCCAAACTTAAAGTGCCTATGAGCATGGTGACCAGACCACACACCAGAAGGTGAAGGGACGACGACGTTTCGGTCCGTCCTGGACCATTCTCAAGTTGAATGACAATGGTCCAAACCGTATTTGGACTCGAGAATGGTCCAGGACGGACTGAAACGTTGTCGTCCCTTGACCTTCTAGCGTGTGGTCTGGTCAACATTCTTCAGCCACGTTATTGTGACTCGAAACCTGCCTAAGAGCAGTTTACATTTAAAGTACAGTATGTCATAATTACCACTGATCGGGAAAGGACCCAGAAAGGTAGGCAAATCAAAACGGACCACTGTCTGGTGAACCTGTGCTCTCTACATCCCTAAGGATCAAAATAACTCGCATAAAAAGACAGCAAACAAGCAAACCTTCATGCGACTAGAACTTGTTGGTTAGAGCTATCCCCCAAGTAGCAGGGAATAGCTCTAAGCATCGAGCACTAACAAGCGGAAGTGCTAGTCGCATAAAGGTTTGCTTGATTGGTTTCTTTCTAGGGAAGTTATTTTAATCTTTTGAGATGATCACAATTGACTTGAGAATGGTCCAGGATGGACAGAAACGTCGTCCTCCCTTCACCTTCTAGTGTGTGGTCTGGTCAAACTACTTCAGCCACGTTATTGTGACTCATCGCCTGCATCTTTTGAGATGTAGATTACACAGGTTAACCATTCAGTGGTCCGTTTTGATTCGCCTACCTTTCTGGGTCCTTCCCCGGTCAATAGCAATTATGACAAACTTTAAATGTAAAGTGCTCATAGGCCATTGATCCCTGCGCCTCTCTGAGGGGACCAGGTTCTGGCTTGTGGTCCCCGGTAGGCATAAGAACTCCTGTGACTGATGACCCCAAACTAATTAGCACATACAGGCATACCTCAGAATAAGAGTTTAATCCGTTCCTGGAGACGCCTCGCCTTCCGAAAACTCGCATTCCGAAGTTAATTTCCCCATAAGAAATAAAGGGAAATGAATTAATCCGTTCCTGACTACCCCAAAAACCCCACATCAAACTAAATTTTTATACCTAATTTACCTAATTCATCTAAATAAACCTACAAAACTGTGTTCCAGTTATTACTTACCTTGCTGTCGAGTGCTGTAGGCGTATGGAAGATGGTGAGGAGGGGGGAGGAGGAGAGGAGTTACTGGTTGGAAGGGGAGTCCCCTTCCATAATCACATCACATAACCCCATGCCTTGTAACACTATGGATACCACTTCTCTTTCTAAATTTTTCAAACCAGCCCCTGCTTGCCTTAAACTCTTTCTTATCTGCATCACTCGTTGCAGGGGTATTCTTTAGAAGGTCTTCGTGCAACACCCTGGCTTTCTCACAAATAATGGCCTCCGAAACACTATCACCCCTCAACTCCTTGTCGTGTATCCAAATTAATAACAACTTTTCCACTTCTTCAAGTATTTGTGGTCTTTGTGCCGTTAATGTTCTTACTCCTTTTGCCACTTTAGCACCCATAATCTTATTTTTCTTCTTAAGTATAGTGCATATTGTTGATGTGGCTTTGTTGTACTGCCTACAAAGTTCAACAACACGTGTACCGTTCTCATGCTTCCGAATGATCTCTTGTTTCTCCTCTATTGTCATCCTCACATGAGCTTTCTGGCCTTTATCCTTACCACTGGCTTTCTTGGGACCCATGGTGAGATATATAATAACAAATTGTATAGACAAATCACCAAAAATCCAACAAAACACTGAAAATCCGCGAGAAGAATTGATGTGGGGGTAGTCACTGAGCGCGAGACAATAATAAACTGAGGGGCGGCGGGGCGGAGGGGCGACGAACGCGCTAGGTCGGCTGTACGCGTATCAACAAACTCGCGTCCAAACTCGCCTCCCGAAGTAACCCTCGCCTTCTGAGACAAATTTTTGGAGTAAATACACCTCGCCTTCCGAAAACCTCGCATACAGGGACAATCGCATTCCGAGGTACCACTGTATCAGTTCGGATAGCTTCAAGGAGCCAACGGGGTTCCCCACAGAAAATTGTGTGATATACATTTTGTGTTGGAACAAAAAAAAAAAAAGATGATTAGGAAATATTTTAATATTTCTTTTGTAAATTATATAGAACTCTTTAAAGGCTAAATCTCAAAGAAATACAAATCTAAAACATGTTCAAGAGAAAGCGTGGTTCGGTGGCTAATTACCAGGCATCTTGTGTTTAGTTTGCGTAATAACTTTAAATGCATAACCGTGTACTGTAGTTCAATGAGCATTTTTCTATAAGGTAAATGCTGTGACTGTTCTAACACTAAACTAAAAATCCTAGAAAAAGCATGCATCTCTAATAAGCACACGAATATATATTACCTATGGAGCCAGTGCCATCAATGATGGCCGTCACTGTGGCAAGGGCTTTGGAATTGCCTTTAAGAGACTCGTGGGTCCCCAGGTCAGCAGACACTGCCGTTGTGATCAGAGCATACGGACCATTTACTAGAAGTCCAACAAGGATCAGCAGGAATATACTCAAGCCCAAACCTGCAGAGCTCAGCGTCTGGTATATGAACAGCTGTTGAGAACATTACAGTCGTAAGTGATTACATTACAAGTTTTAAGATGCTTCATATTATAATTGTGTTGCTCTTTTGGTCTACTCATACTTTAAAGCATGCAAATGGCTTAAATTAAATGTTTTGACCAATATGAGTAATTTATTCAGAAATTATGTGCAGCCCACCAATTGGACAATGTAAATTATCAAGCAGGTTACCATAAAATAAACAACTTTACCACACCAGATGAGCCTGATTGCAAAAGTTAATAGTTCAGCCATTTGATGTGGTCTCATAATCAAAACAATCACCAACATTTAAAAACTGCAAAGTGATCTTGTATGCTTACCATAGGAATGGCACAGACAAGCATTACGGAGCACGTACAAGCTGACATGCCCGAGTAATCACTGATCATTCCTGCCATGATGCCCCCAATTATTCCGCCCACATCGAAAAAGGTGGACAAGTCAGCACTCTGCTCTGCGGTGTACGGAGCTGTGGAAGAAGTGTCACTTAGCCATTTCTTAGAAATTAATAATGTGCAATGAACACTTAAAACTTTCGAGTCGTTAGGCGATATGTTTTCTTTTCACAAACTCGACAGAAAACTACAGTGGAACCTCGAGTGACGAGCATTTCGAGTAACGAGCAAGCCACTCGCAGAAAATATCTCTCGACTGAAGAGCTTTCCCTCGATTAACGAGCGTTCCCACTGGTTCTCGGACACCTCCGATGACAGTTTCGTTGTTGTTTCACATCACGAGCTCGGTACCGGAACGGATTAAACTCGTTAATCAAGACGCCACTGTAGATATCTTTTCGATTGTTATCGATCAAGAGAGAGAGATTTGCATTCCTAGCACAGCATATCTTATGATGCAAACAGCATACAGGAGCCACAATGCCTACAAGGTACTATAATGAGTACATAGCATTATATTCAGGAAGAATATAATAATAGTATATTTATTAAAGTATAATAATCTTAGGGAGCCTGCAAAGGCTAATATAATGAGTTCAGAAGTATAGAGCACAGGGAGTAAGTATACGTATTGTATACACTAATTATGACAGTAAACTTCTTTAACATTTTTCGTACCTAAGTCTATATTTACTTTACCAAAAGATGTCTATATTTAAATATCCTGTATTTTATGATTATCTTCATGAATTATTCAAATAATTTTATGATTTTGACTCAAAATGTTTACAAATGAATAAGGGAATACTATATATATATATTTTTCAACTGGTTTGTAAATTCATTTTATAACATATACTGTATGAAAAATCATTAAAATCAGATTAAAAGTAATGAGGACTCGCAAGAAACAAGGCAGACCGATTTAACCTGTTAAGTATAATGTAAACTAAATAATTGATCACTTGATATAACAAAGACTAAAGAAATACCCACTGCTGTTTAAGATGTAATTCGGTAACCAGTACAAAAACGTGTAGGACACGAGCTTGGCAAAGAAGAGGCACATGGAGAATTCCACTACACCCTAAAAAAAACAAAATTAACATTTATTATAATTTAAATCAGTACCACAAACTGCTAAATCACACAGAGATTTCAAATCAAAATAAAACAAAATCTTTGCCTACTATCCTTCTGGTAAAGGTACTCCTTTACCAGAGGGGTAAAGGTACTCCTTTACCAGGGGGGTAAAGGTACTCCTTTACCAGGGGGGTAAAGGTACTCCTTTACCAGGGGGTAAAGGTACTCCTTTACCAGGGGGGTAAAGGTACTCCTTTACCAGGGGGTAAAGGTACTCCTTTACCAGGAGGAGGAGGTACTATCCCAACTTTTGGGTAAATACTGGTTTAGTAACAGGGTTGCTATATAATCATAATGGCTTGGCACTTCCCCCCCTACCCTGATAGTTCCCTCTGTCAGTAACAGGTTGTTGACTTGTGGAACCAATTACCGCATAACATGGTGGAGGTGAGGTCCCTTGATTGTTTCAAGTGTGGGTTGGACATGTATACGATTGGGATTGGGTTATAAATAGAAACTACCTCATATGGGCCAATAGGCCCTCTGCAGTTACCTTTCTTCTTATGATCTGTACAGCATTAAAAAGATGATGCAAAAATCTTTTATTTAATTATGATACTGTGCATAATCAGTATAAAATGAATAGAGCGGACTCACCGGGATGCTAAGAGCTCCGATGAAACTGATGGCCTTGTCCTTGTTCTCCTCGGGAATAATGGGTTCCGACTCCATTTTCTTATCTTTCTCAACATAAGAAACAGCAGGGGAATCCTAGAAGCCAAAACATCATTGTTTTCATTGACTTATCTACACACAAGCAATAATCAGTATGGTAATATATTTTTTTTTAATTTGGTGAATATTTATTATTTACATTTATCTGTGTATCAATAAATTTGTATCAATCTGATAAATGGTTAAACTATACATGAGATGAAGATCGTTGATGTAAAGATATTACTTAATTACATGTTATTCAAAAGTGAGGCATCATCTCTACTAATGTAGCTTTAATTTTAAAATGTTATATTTACTAATTTTGACAAATTTCCTCCATTGATATCTTAAAAGCACATTTTAACTACACACATCAAAAGGCTCAACATTACATATCCAATAAAAGTTAAAAAGAGAAACAACATGAAAATATTTTAATATCTCACGGCTTATGATGTAGACCTACAGCACTTAGAGACAGAGAGAGGCAGTAGTAGTTGGCAAATGATTAGTTTAAAAATATCAGGCAAAGTTGGCAAATGATTAGTTTAAAAATATCTGAAAACAAATATTATGTCACATTACCTTGGCAAAATCAATTTATGCTATACATAGTGATCCTGTTTAGTAGCTAGTTCTATGATGACAAACTCCTGTTACCGTCTATAAACAGGAATAATTATTACGTCTAAATAATTTCCAACAGTCCGAGAGGCTTCAGCACAACGCCAAACTATACCGTATTATTCAAAATACACAACAAAACACTGCTTCATATAGTTTAATGCCAAGACCCAATGGCAGTGAGTAAGCCCCAAGGCCTGGTAACTGTTACGTATCATTCATAACTTGCTCTTGTAATCACAGTCCCAATTCTGGGGTGATGAGCATCTCCACCTTTATCTCTCTAAAGAGAGTTTGGGAAAATCTTGCAATTATACCTCAACAATTACATTAAAGGAATAAATTTATAAAATTAACTAAAATTGAAAAGAAAACCAAGGGGAGGCAGAACAGAAGAAAATAATTATGAGAAATATAAACAAGGAAAAAGTGCTTTTAGAGCAGGATAACTGGTTGCTCCGTGAAGTAAGATTCACTATGGCTATTGTCGAGGATCAGCAACAGTCTTGTATGTTGACATTTTGATGTCGATGTCACAAGGAATGTTCCAAACGGCCCTTACAGGATCATAATGGCTTATGATCCTTCTCATAAACCTTCTCTAGTATCAGAATATTGCCCTGATTGACCGATGCCAAATTCTGACCAAAAGCCACAGCAAACCTTACCTTAGGAAGCAACCAAGAGAGTGAAGCCCACGCTCAAAGATCGTGTGCTTCTATTACCATTAGGTTATCTTGAGATGATTTCGAGGCTTAGTGTCCCCGCGGCCCGGTCCTCGACCAGGCCTCCACCCCCAGGAAGCAGCCCGTGACAGCTAACTCCCAGGTACCTATTTACTGCTAGGTAACAAGGGCATCAGGGTGAAAGAAACTCTGCCCATCATTTCTCGCCGGCGCCCGGGATCGAACCCGGGACCACAGGATCACACGTCCAGTGTTCTGTCCACTCAGCCGCCGGTTCCCCATTAGGAGCCAAGATGGATCAAAACAGTGTCACCTTCCTTTCCAATGTGAGGGGGTTTAACTACTAATATTCAGCCAAATGCAGGCGAGGAGTCAGAATAACACAGCTGAAAAGTGTTGACCAAACCACACACTAGAAAGTGAAGAGAAGACGACATTTCGGTCCGTCCTGGACCGCTATCAAGTCGATGACCATTATCACAATCTACTTGAGAATGGTCCAGGATGGACCGAAACGTCGTCATCTCTTTACTTTCTAGTATGTAGTTTGGTCAGCATTCAGTCACATTATTATGGCTCATTATCTGCACCATCATCAATATCATGTAGAATTCTTCAATTGAATTTTCAAAGTACATATACTGTACTGGTATATCTATTAACACTTAAAAACAGATCAAGTCTTTGGGAAAAACAACTAATTTCTAGCCATTCTTGCAAGGAAGGTGGAGTAAAAACAGCAACACTACTAGCACTCTTAACTTAGCTTGGCATACCAAAACAATGTGAGGCGGTGCAAAGCAAACAAAGATTAATGATGCAAATTGCCTAAACATGATTAATGGTGTTTATATATTCAAACTAAAAGTGATAAGCCAACAAATTATAAGAAGGTGCAAAGGTGGAAAATGAAATATATTTCTGGTTAATTATACAGCTGTGATAGTAAGCTTAGGGTCACTTATTCAAATACAGTATAGAATATTGTATTGTTCTTTAGCAGGAAAGACAAAAATGGTGATGGGAATTCTGTCACCTGTATTCTGCTCAACTTAAAAAAAAAAAAAAAAAAAATTAAATTTCACGTAATAGATTGCATTACAGTACCTCAAAAATTAACTAAAAATACTTTTGTTTGGAATAGTGTGGTAGATCGACATACACAGTCACACACATTTTCTTTTTTGCAATTTGAAAAACTCTCCCACACCCTTAACTCATAAATGAACACTTAACTCTTTAAAAGTTAAATAACTATTCATGTCACGATTCTTTATCCGAACTTAAGGTCTTTCATTAATTCCATATCTATGTCCCATTCCCCTAAATCACTATGTATCTCATTTCTACGTTATATATATATATACAGTATATATATTATTACCTCCTAACATAATAATTAAACTCAAGTGTCTGAATTGCCTCACTGCCTGTTTTCGTCTGACTATTCAAGTCTCATTGAAGCTATTATCATCATTCATCATCTCACTTTTGCTGTAATAAGAATGGATGGATGTTATTACAACTCAAATAAAGATACAACTCTTCCAACACTGGCTTTGGTTGTCAACATGTTAACAATACACTGCATTTAAATGAGTTTATACTGCAGCAGTATTCATTTTCAATGTTAACATCGTTTATGTTAACATTAACCTAACACCACAATTGAATTGATAATTGTCCGGGACAGACCGAAACATTGTCGTTTCTTCACTTTCTGTTTGGTCGACATTTTTCAGCCACGTTATTGTGACTCTTCATCTGCTTATCATCATCTACTTCTTAGCTCCCATATACAGTAGAGTACTCTAAACCCCACATCCCACAGGCATGTAGCTCATGAAACTATACTATTAACAGAAAAAATGTATATTGTGCAACACCCAAAAAAAAATAGAAAAGCAAAAACATCATAGATGCCCAAAACTGTGCTGCGTTTATTCAAAATTGTGGTGGCACAACAAAAGACAATTTACAACAACTCAAAACGCTCCCAACACATTAATACGATCACCTGTCTGTCATGTAAGTAGCAATACAGTTCACTGTCTTCATTCTGTACAGATAAATATAAATTTAATGAGTGTTTTTATACACCTACAATTTTGTGACACACATGCTGTACTGCATTTACATGTAGATGAAAACAATGGCTTCCTTTGAAATGTTACACATTATATATAGCATATTTTTAACAAGTAAAAACAAAAACATTGAAACCAACTACAACCACTGAATATTAACAAATCTTTCCACCAAAATAATCTGCAGGTCTAATTACTCTTTGAATAACAATCAAAATGAATTTGCCATAATAATAAAAAGTACATTATACATGGAATTACCCTATAATTACAAATCAATTATAATTATACAACAAAACCAGTTATACATGTACATTAGCACCTTAGGGCAGTTTATTATTATTGCATTTAAAATAACAATCATTCCAATAATAGCTTACTTTATATCATAAATTATTTTTATTTCTTTACTGAATGCAGCACTTGCCTCCTTAGACTAAAATTAGCTAAATCTTTTGAAGTTTCATTTCAGTTATTTCTACTATTCTTCTACTTCCCGATTACCCAGTAAGCCTTAGAGGAGTACAGGTATTCCTAAAAAAACTTGTGTAAAGTGTAAAATAGAGGGCACATAACCAGAGACCTCTTAGAAATGCAGGCGATGAGTCACAATAACGTGGCTGAAGTAGTTTGACCAGACCACACACTAGAAGGTGAAGGGACGACGACGTTTCAGTCCATCCTGGACCATTCTCATAATCGACTTGAGAATGGTCCAGGACGGACCGAAACGTCGTCTTCCCTTCACCTTCTAGTGTGTGGTCTGGCCAAACCTCTTAAAAAAAAAAAATACATGCCTCCGTAAAACATCTTCTGGAGTAGTGTAACTAAAATATTCTACTACAGCACTTACCCGCCAGCAACACAACACTTGATTTAGTGCAGAACATTTAGGAGGTTCTATACCAGAATGTAATCAAAAACATACATTAAGCTCAATAGAATTGAGAAAAGTCACGAAGTCAGCATGTCATTTGCTTAAGGGTTAATGCTCGACAAAAGAACATTTAAATTGTGTGTATCTTGTGCACCAACTCTTAAATCCACATTCTCAGAACTCTCTTAGAACAAGGCTTTATATATATTAAATAAATCCAAGTCTGTCCTGGAGATGTTTTGACTACATGTCACCTAATGAATGAGTAGTCACCTCATAATTTGTTAAAATAATAATACTGTAATATCAATGAGCAGCAAGCAGAAAGAAGAACAAAGCAAGCAAGCACAAGCACAAGCACCAATTACTCACGGTATCGAGGAGTGTTGCGGACTCATCCGTTGCCCATGTATAATCTGGAGTAAGCCGTCTTCTGGGTGGGGGAGAAACTCCCTCGGGCTACAAACAACCAGTAACAATGGAAGCATCATGTTAGCCAACTGTGTGCTACGTTAAGCACCACACACACACGCACCTTTGTACATAACACCAAGGTAATCAATGAGAAAATTCATCAAGGACTGCACAGCTAGTGCATAAAAGAAAAAGTGAATTATAGTTACTGCTAAACAATGACACTATGGCGATAAAACCCAAAAAACACCAAGTTGTAAAGTTTGGGATTTCCTCATAGTTGGGGAAAACCAAGGACTGCACACCTCGAACAATTTGCCATCGTAATGAAAGGTCTCTTTGATCTACCTTATCAGTAAACATAACACTGCGTGATAAACAAGTGTACCCATACAGCTAAACTTCACGGCTTTCTACAACCACCTTACACAAATATTAATACTTAAATGTGTCAATATACAACGTAAATAACAAACAAGATAGCTTCAGAGTGGATATGAGTGGGGTGTATGGTGTGGGGCTGAGAGGGAGTTTGAGATGGTGAGAAGGGGGGAAAAGAGCAGGAGTGGAAAAAAAAAAAAGATAGTAGGGGAGAGGTAAAGTGAGAGTAGGGAGAGGGAATAGGGTAAAAAAAAAAAACACGGGCCCCTGCAGAACAGTCCTAAGGACAGCCAGCACGTATCTGAAAAACCAGAACCAGAAAGGGTGATATAGGGACATGACAAGCATGTACGACGGACTGCACCAGGTCCTGACTGACTGACATCACCTGGACCCCAAGCTGCCTTCTGGTGGCATGGAGGGGGTAACTAGTACTTGTAATGAGCTAATGACTGTGTTCCTGGTTGATAGGGTAGCTAATTTATTCTTGCAATTGTGTGTTTTGTAGTGACCTACCTTTAATGTGGTATTTGCTCTTGGCTTGGGATGATTTAGTATCCCCAGACTCCATATGTTTCTGCCTGAGATCAGATCAGATTCTGGATCTGGTTTGCAGTAGGCCTTTATGACTTGCAAGAGCCTGATAGGACATAATACATGTAGAGCTATCTCCAGATGAAGAGGGGGGGGGGGGGGAGGAAGTAGCGAAGAAATGAGAAAAACAAAATTAAGTGTTTAATGTAACAAAACACCTCTTTCTGGTAAGAGCTCCAATCGCTTCTTTATACTTCCGAGATGTCTTTCCACTACTGAGTTGCATCAGTCATCAGTCATAGACTTATGATAACCAACACCAACAAAGCATCCAGAAAGTAGGCAAAGCAATATAGACAAATGCACAATTCACGAAAATGAAGCACCCAAACGGCAAACAGACTGCAATGATTTACTCAAATTCATATGGTTCATTCAAAGCTCAGTACAAGCCCCTTAGTGTACAAAAATAGTTCAGGGAATGAACCACCAGGAAGCAGTCAGAATGAAACTGGAGGATGGAGCCCATAGCAAACCAAACGTCCAAAGGGCTTGCCATACTGTCCATACTGTCCCAAATTCATGTAACACATTGTGCACCTGATGGAGCAGATCTGACCACTGACCCTGGGAGACCTGGCGAGTGTTGATCACAAAAACCTAACCCAGAGCTGAGGTGCCTGAACATGTTGAGTGACAAGTTAGGATGGCACCAGAGAACAGAATCCTGAAAAGCCAGAAGAGGAAGCCAACGAAAGAAGAGCCGGGACTAGAACCTAGTCCTGACAGAGGTAAAATCGGTGGAACCAGAGGAACTATCTTCTTATCTTACCTTGAGGTTATCTTGAGATGATTTCGGGGCTTCAGTGTCCCCGCGGCCCGGTCCTCAACCAGGCCTCCACCCCCAGTAAGCAGCCCGTGACAGCTGACTGACACCCAGGTACCTATTTTACTGCTAGGTAACAGGGACATAGGGTGAAAGAAACTCTGCCCATTGTTTCTCGCCGGCGCCCGGGATCGAACCCGGGACCACAGGATCACAAGTCCAGTGTGCTGTCCGCTCGGCCGACCGGCTCCTGAACTAGCACAACACTCAGAGCCAGACCCTGCCCAGGGCAAATACCATGTAGACAAAGTTCAGATTCCAGCACAACCAACCTACGAGTCACCCGAGACCAATCTAAAATCAGACGGCAACACTGCTACAGGCATTTGGATTATCAGTGGACGAAGGAATCCTGAAGCATGGGGTACCCCTGACGTTCAAGACAACATCCAGAGATCAAGTGGGTATCAAGATGGCACGAGGATGGAGGTGGAAGGAGCATGAGGAAGAGGTGGAAAAACTGGACGGAGGCATGGCATGGAAACCAAACCCCAAAAGGATAGGCTCTGGAGAGCCACCTAAAATGAGGCAATGGTGTTGGACATATAACCAAGAAGGCAGGCTTGCCTTCCATATCCTACAGTTAAGACACTGAGGAGAAAAGTAATGCTGCAAGAGCAATGTTAAAGTATCAAGCCCAGTTCAGTATCAAGTCACCATGGTTAAAATAAGGAAACACAATAACTAAGCTAAGTCCCTAATCTTTCATCCCAGACCACAGTCATAGGGGCAGACCTAGTCACAAGACATGTCCTTAATGTGCCCTAATCAAACCACTATACAAGAACAGGAAAATGCAGCCTTTGTCCAAAAGGAAAAATAATAACTACACAAAACTCAAGCAGGACCCAGGGTAACTGAGTAAGCAGGCGATGAGTCACAATAACTCTCAATCGACTTGAGAATGGTCCAGGACGGACCGAAATTTCGTCTTCCCTTCACCTTCTAGTGTGTGGTTTGGTTAACTGAATAAGTTATCAAATCACACACACTGGCATGATGTAGTGACAACAAGAACCCAAATATCATCCCCAGCACAAACACCTGTCTGGGACTAAGTCTTAAGGAACTTCAAATGCTAGAGACAAACTGAGGGGAGGGGGGGGGAGAGAATGATCACAGGTGTTGCAAGAAACAGACCAGCACAGCAGACAACTCTTCAACACCAATAAGTGAGAGAGCCCACACACATCAAATGACTAGCCAACACACACACACACAAGCATTCACTAACATTACAGCACAATAAAACAAAACTTGCAAAGCTAAACACAAGTTACATTACTTAAGAAGCTTATGCCTCCTTATCTCGAGATGATGTCGGGGCTTAGCGTCCCCATGTCCCGGTCCTCATCTAGGCCTCCTTTTTGTTACCCACCCCCAGGAAGCAGCTCGTAGCAGCTGTCTAACTCCCAGGTACCTATTTACTGCTAGGTAACAGGAGCATCAGGGTGAAATAAACTCTACCCATTTGTTCCCGCCTCCACCGGGGATTGAACCCGGAACCTCAGGACTATGAATCCTGATTGTTGTCCACTCGGCCATCAGGCTTCCTAAGTGTGATGACATAATGAACCAGGAGAAGAAATGAGGTGGAGCATGGCTGCTACTTTCTTGACATGTAGAGGCCGACATCTGGTATTGGGGTGGTGGTCGTAGCAGCCAGCCAGTTACTTTAATAGCAATTCAAGACTGGACAGGAATTTGAGTGCAAATGAACAAACTTTCTGGAAGTTATTTCAGGATGGATCAAATAATCTCCAGTGTCTCCCTGCCACTTGTTGTACAAGCATTTACAAAGATCTTCACTACACCAGGGGGGTAAAATGTCCATCTGCCTGGTTCTGTCTTTCGATATATGCAGGATGTTGTGTAGGGAAGGGAATTATCAGGGAAAGCACCAAGCCATTACGACTATATAGCACTTGGAAAGGATCGGGATAAGGATTTGGGATGGGACAAAGGGAAGGAATGGTGCCCAACCACTTGGACGGTTGGGGATTGAACGCTGACCTGCATGAAGCGAGACCGTCGCTCTACCGTCCAGCCCAAATGGTTGGACGCACAACCAACTTGTGCGTGCAGGGAAGAAATAAAGTGATATAAATCAGAAAAGAGGAAGGACGTAGTGCGTGAACAGGCATGGAGAATTACTCACATCATGCTTAACTAATAAACACAACAGCAGTCTAAGTACATGTACCAACATAAAGCGTACAAATCTACTCTAACACACAACACTGTAATTCATAATTTACAATTCTAAATTGTATGCATATTTTATTCTAATACTGTACTTGAAATTTTGAAATATTTTACTGCTGAATTACATGACTGATTTCAACACCCGAGTGCATTTACTACCAAATATATTCATCCCACAACAAAAAATATACTAATAAAAATGTCCCTTACGGATACATACAAATTTTTAAAAACTACTATAGTACACAAGTTATTGAGTTATTGGACAACTTTCCCAGTATTCTGAAATTAAACATCAAGACTTTCACATAAACATAAGAAACACCTAATTTCCTACAAGCATTTACTTGAATCTATTAGACCACCTCCAACACTGCTACATTTGAAGTGCAACATATCAAAGGAATTGTATAGTGTTCTACCCCAGACATTAACCAATTTTGCAGACCCTGGCACAAATTTATGTCATGGACAACACAAGATATATATATCCAAGTAAAAACAGCAAAGCCAGTAAATTAGCTAATGTTAACAAAATGAAAGAGCATCAAAAAATTAAGTGGACAACAATTAATGACCCTACTACTTGGACTGGACGGTAGAGCGACGGCCTCAATTCATGCAGGTCGACGTTCAATCCCCGACTGTCCACCAAGTGGTTGGGCATCATTCCTTCCCCCATCCCTAATCCTTATCCTGATCCCTTCCAAGTGCCATATAGTCGTAATGGCTTGGCGCTTTCCCCCAACAGTTCCCTTCCCTTCTTGTCCAATGCATATCAGTCAGTGCCTGACTATCAGCGACTATGGAGAAGTGAGATTTAGCTCTGTCCCACGTCCTAGGCTTTTGTACACGGTGCAATTTTTATATTTTCCAATGCTCTGTGATGTGTCTTGGAGTGGCTGATGGAAGTCATTTTTAAAGATCACTTCTTACAGTATATTATACTTGCTGGCCACCCTTGTAGGGTATTAGTATTTCATTAGTCCACCTTGTCCATTTCCTTCAGTATTTTGTAATCATATTTCATCTGATCCTTCTCTTGAGAAAATATACCCGAACATCTTAAAAACACTTAATGCAGTTTATCTGTACGAGTAAATATCATTAAAAAAATAGAAACAGTTGCCAAGAAATTTTATGCATTTCTGTCAACAAACACAACAAAAAGAAATTCTGCCCCTTTTTATTTCCAGACACCAGTTTGTGAGCACGATACTTTGTCACCCCCAGCACTGTCACGCATTTCTTCTTTGTCAGCCTTTATGGATAAAAAAAAAAAAAAAAAAAAAAAAAAAAAAAAAAAAAAAAAAAAAAAAAAAAAAAAAAAAATCACCGAATCGCTAATTAAACGACAGACCACAGCAAACAAAACCAGGGTATAGATTACTACTCAAACGAAGGAAAGAATACACTGTCTAGGAGTGTAGAGTACGGAATGCCACTTTAGTTCTCATCAGCCAAGGGCCTATGATAATAATCAATTAGATGAACACACATGAGAACAAATTATATTCACTTTACTGTACAGTACTATAATGGATTTATCAATATTCTTTGCTTGAATTAAAACACTAGAGAAAGTGCTAAAATGGAACACTATTTCACTGGTATTGTATTCCTGTAATGCATTTCTATTTACCGTTTGCTTGAGTTTATTTGTTCACTTTGCTTTAACATTAAAATACCTTTCAAAACAGTGGCATGAATATTCTGATAAATTACGCAGGCAATGGTGAGGGAATTAAATAAACTGCAAGTGTTCCAAATTGCTGAAAGAAGTCAGTGTAATGCAGAAATGTAGTACTGAGGTATAAACATTGAGATACGAGTATATTGACAATACCAAATAAAAGGAACAGAAGTGATGATTAAAGGAGTAGGCCTACAAAGTGTAAACAATGGTTTATGCATTCGTGCATTGATGATTGCTTCAATTATGTATATTCATCACATTCATATTTAAAACATTCAACAAATTTGTAGAAAGAGAGCAAAAACTAATATTGGCAGTAGCCATTACTAACACATAGCAGCCTATATAATACAGTACACCCTGGGCGATGAGTCACAATAAAGTGGCTAAAGTATGTTGACCAGACCACACACTAGGTGAAGGGACGACAACATTTCGGACCATCCTGGACCAGGACGGACTGAAACGTCGTCGTCCCTTCACCTTCTAGTGTGTGGTCTGGTCCACAGTACACCCCGTATAGGCGAGACTACTGTACTCGTAGCTCAGTTGACAGAGCTTCGGCCTCACACACGTGGGGACCACAGTTCGAGACTCCAAGAGCCCAGGTGAATGAAACGGAGGGTATATTTGGAACTGTAAAATAACAATTCACCTCACCTTTTTGTTTACAGAAGTGATGTTGAGAAGTATGAAGGACAAGCATCACATGATCCTTTACAAATATATACAGTATCTACAGTACTGTACAGTATACAGAATAGTTAGCTGCAGAAAGAGAGAGCTGCTAGCAGTTGAAGACAATGTTCTGTTTGCTGAATTTCAACACACACAGTATTAACTACTAGTACTGTACAGCTTTTAGCCAAATCTACAGAAATTCTCTTGACTTCCAACTACAATAAATATCCTTAGGAACTATGTCACGCATGCAAATACAACCCGAGACACGCAACTTACATCTTTTTTCATATTGGGATTAGGTAGGCCAATTAACGATGGTTCAGGAACCATGAAGAAGAGCACCAACACTCCCACTGAAGCAATTATTATGCCAGGGATGACAAATGAGAGCGTCCAGTTCGTGGTTACAAATGCTGCAGCGATCAGAGTACCCAGAATGTTACCTACAGATGTATGAGAATTCCAAATGCCAAAGATCAAACCTGAAAAAAATATATAAAAAAATCTTACTAGAATACTCTCAATGGGGATCATTTATTTTTGCATACTAATAGTTTTTAACATGCAAATTTAAGGGGGGGGGGGAATTTAAAAATTGCTGGGGGAATTTAAAAATTGTAAACTAGTATACTGGTAAATTGGTAAAGGCAATATAAATAATAAATTGGTAATTTATTATAGATTTACCAATAAATTGACCAATTTACCAATAAATTGACCAATTTACCAATAAATTGACCAATTTACCAATAAATTGACCAATTTACCAATAAATTGACCAATTTACCAATAAATTGACCAATTTACCAATAAATTGACCAATTTACCAATATAAATTGACCAATTTACCAATATAAATTGACCAATTTACCAATATAAATTGACCAATTTACCAATATAAATTGACCAATTTACCAATATAAATTGACCAATTTACCAATATAAATTGACCAATTTACCAATATAAATTGACCAATTTACCAATATAAATTGACCAATTTACCAATAAATTGACCAATTTACCAATAAATTGACCAATTTACCAATATAAATTGACCAATTTACCAATATAAATTGACCAATTTACCAATATAAATTGACCAATTTACCAATAAATTGACCATTTACCAATAAATTGACCAATTTACCAATAAATTGACCAATTTACCAATAAATTGACCAATTTACCAATATAAATTGACCAATTTACCAATAAATTGACCAATTTACCAATAAATTGACCAATTTACCAATAAATTGACCAATTTACCAATATAAATTGACCAATTTACCAATATAAATTGACCAATTTACCAATAAATTGACCAATTTACCAATAAATTGACCAATTTACCAATAAACTGACCAATTTACCAATAAACTGACCAATTTACCAATAAATTGGTAAAGGTATAGGACTGTCTCACCTCTACAGAGGGTGGACACTTTAGATCACACACAACCATACCAAGATGCTTACTATTGATTACATGACAGAAAATGGGAAATATAGCTAGAGGACTCATTGTATTTCCATGCAAATTTTGTATTGATTTATGTATTCTCTGTCTTATTACTGAAGTAAAATTAGAAGGCATTATGGCTTTCATTTACAACATAGTAAGACTATCATACACAAATCATCATCATTCTATTACTTATTCTTCACACCACACTGCAGGCAACTATTAATAAACTTCATTAAAACATCCTATACTGTATTTCACAAACATTGTAACAATTTTGAGGTCTGATGAAACATTTTAGTCACCCACAATTAGGATTGTATAGTTATCTGTTATCTGTCTGTGGTAGATAGGATTATCAGTTACCTGTCCGATAACAAAAACACATCACTCTCTGAATGTCTAAAAATCACCTCTTAACTTTAAAATCTGTCACCTCGTCTATTCGGCAAAGAAGAAAAAATATGGTTTCATAAACAAGCGTCTTTCAACTCACTCCTCTGCTGCAATTCTATCTGGGAATTTAGCCCATGCATAGATTTAAACACTGGTGGGAAAGACCAAATCATGATTTGATGATAAACACAAGCTACTAGCCAGTAACTTAACATCATTGGTAGACAAACAAGCCAATAATAATGACGAGAAAATCCACTAGGACTGTGAGGTGGCGCGAACCAACGAACAAAGCATTGCTAGCCACATACTCTACTACTGGACCACCGTCACACATATTCTTACAAGTCCGCAGTGGTCCAGTGGTCGAGTTTGTGACTGGCATTGCCTTAGTCGTACGTTCATGCCACCTCATAGCCCTGGTGGATTTCCTCATTGACATATATCACATTAGTGTGATTTCTGTGTTAATAATGATAATCTTCAAATGACGATGACTGTACGTTGAAGGTCAACCATCATACTCCCAGCTTTATGACAATTCTTCAACTATATGAGCACAGTATGAACAAAGCTTATCAGAGAGACAATCTATATATCAGAGGGCTAACTAGAGATCACCTTGGCCAACCCTCCACTGAAGCTAAACACTCTGTATGCACAGGTTTTCTCTTCGTTTTGAAAATTACTTTATGAAAATAACACGAGTAATGTTTGTTTTTTTTTTTTACAGCTACATATACTGTATAGATAAATTGTTTGTGAACGTCCCAATTTTTTATACAAATAATATATGAGACATGATTAATGTTAAAAATGTTTTCACATTCAGCAACATCCTGAATATATTACTGTATAATACAAATTTTTTTTTATTCTTCTATACAGTACTCATAATCATTCATTTCCAAACATCTTAATGTGTGTTGTCGGGAACAGGAAGCCTTTACTCAAGTTTGTATCGTGGTCCTCTTAAGTCAACCAGCCTACCTTTCCCAGGATACAACCAACAAAGGTTGTCCAACTCTGGGTACCTACATATAGCTAGGTGAATAGCGGCACCAGGTGAAAGAAAATGTCCTCAATCATTTCTGTCCTGCTCGGAGATCGAACTCAGGGATCCTCGATTGCGAGGTGAGAAAAATAACTAAAAGGTTTTAAAACTTTTAGAGTACTGTATAAACATTTTATACTTAACTGAATAGGGCTTCAAGAATTGGATCTTTAACCATATCTATCTTGAGGTTATCTCGAGATGAATTCGGGGCTTAGTGTCCCCCACGGCCTGGTCACCGACCAGGCCTCCTATTTGTTACTACCCCCCTCCCAGGAAGTACCCCGTACCAGCTGTCTAACTCCCAGGTACCTGTTTACTGCTAGGTGAACAGCGGCATCAGGCATATACTTCAGCTCAGAACACAAACCTTTCATTAACCGCACATTCCATGCATCTTACTTATGACATCACCACACATTTATTTCACGTCTATTCAAACAGAGTACAGTACTTGGTGTGCTATTCTTACCTCGCTTCCCTTTACCAAACCAATTTCCTAAAGCCGTTACAACACCTGGCCATCCTGTAGTTTGCATTAAACCACTAAGAACCTGAAAACATCATTTACTGTTACCATTTCACCAAGTATGAAAACTATACAGTGGCACCTCGATTAACGAGCGGCTCAATCTATGAGCAATTCGAGTAATGAGCGAGCCACTCGCAGAACATTTGTCTCTACTAACGAACTTTTCCGCTGGTTCTCGGACACCTTTTACAACAGTTTTGCCGTTTCACAATACAAGTTTTCCACATGACGAGCTCGGTGCCGGAACAGATTAAAATCGTTAATCGAGGTGCCACTATACAGTATTGGGGAAAAACATTAAACATCTAGAATCTCTTTCAATGCATTAAACATCAATTGAATAATTTTACTATCAGCCCTTGTGCTAAACATAAGGAAAGTGGCTTTGGTTCACCCACTCTTGATATCTAGTCTGCCTAGAGTGATCAAGTGCCAATCATACGAAGATGGATTAAAACTCAGAAGATAATAGGGCAGGTTTTTGACGGTGATTGAAACGTTTATGACTGAGGAAGTTAGCAGAAAAATATTTTACAAGTTTTTTTTTTTTTTTTTATTCATGCACAGCATAAGTATCAGTATTTTTTATATATATACAAGAGTTCTTGCATTCTTGTAAAGCCACTAGCACACGTAGCGTTTCGGGCAGGGCCTTAATCCTAACTTTCCCCAGAATATGACCCATCAAATTGTTTAACAACCAGGTACCCATTCACTGCTGGGTGAACAGAGGCTACAGTTAAGGATTGGTGCCCGTTCAATCCTCCCCGGCCAGGATACGAACCCAGGCCAAAGCGCTCGTGTCTTACCATCACAGGGACTAGTTTCTGTGGTAGTTTGTGGTATTTATGTAGTGATCTAGTTTGCATTCATTAAAGCCATGTCTGTGAAGATTTATGATGGTTAAGCTAAGGGGGTGAACCGTTGCAAAGTGTTAGTTTATGTTGACCAGACCACACACTAGAAGGTGAAGGGACAATCGACTTGAGAATGGTCCAGGACGGACCGAAACGTTGTCATCCCTTCACCTAGTGTGTGGTCTGATCAACTTACTTCAGCCACGTTATTGTGACTCATCGCCTGTTAGTTTATGTTTCTCAATCTAGTGTCTACATTACAGTATAGATTCATTACATAGGCCTATACTCTCATGATGGGTTTCTGACTGCAAAATATAAGATGCTCTTATTTATGAATGAATGAAGATAAAGGCAAGACAATAGCAACATGAATGTGAAAGGTGGCATGAATGAAATCAATGTAAACAAACTGCTGCACTGTAAGATTTTGCAAACTGCTCAAATTCTATGACATACAGTGGACTTAATATATGGCTCAACTACATAATAGGTTACGAGGTCAAAATATTGTCCATATTAAGTTGACCAGAACACACACTAGAAGGTGACGGGACGATGACGTTTCGGTCCGTCCTGGACCATTCTCAAGTCGATTGTCAATATTAACTTGTCAAATTTTGACAGAACACCATATATCTTTTGTGGGCAAACCATAACCGTGGCTACAGTATACGTATTTTTATTTCCAAGGAGCCGACAAACATTTGTAAGCGATATTCCAATAGTAATGTCAGTGCAATGTATTTCAAATATTTAATTACAAATAGAAGTCTAATATAATATATATTATATATATATTATATATATATTATATATATATTATATATATATTATATATATATTATATATATATTATATATATATTATATATATTTATATATTATATATATATATATATATATATATATATATATATATATATATATAGATATATATATATATTGATAAAAACTATATATTTTTACCTGTGCCACAATGTAGAACCAAAGCTGGTGAACACCAAATGTATGGCCAAGACCAAACATGGCACAGAAGACACCAGAAAATATCATGCCAAATGACAGAAAGAGGCGTAGGTCAACTCTCTCGGCAATAATTCCACTGTTGATTACAGAGAAAAACATGAATGTGATAATGCAATTTATGAAAATGAATACATAAAAAGAAATTCCTTGAAATTATATGAATACAGTTCATACATGTGCAAATCCAATCTTATTTATAGAGATACTGTAGGTGAAAGTGAGTGAAAGTGAACATGAGTGAAATTGGGCAACGTTCATTTTGACTTATCTTGTGGCCTGGGGTTTGAGTAACTTTAAATACTAAGATTCACTCCGTGTTATATAGAAATGACTCTGAGAAAGATAATTCTCAGACACATGTATAACTTTCATCTATGAATCTAACTATGAGACCCAGCAACATCTTGCTATGGATACTAGAGTTACCTGGCTATTATGGATGTCTAATCAATAATCTCTGATCATAATATACATGCAGCTTGGATTTGTGTGCAGGTTACGATCCTACAAACATCACGAACGTGAAGTTAGAGAACATGGACAAAATAGGGATATGTTGCAGAAAACTCCAAACTTCCATGTCTTTCCACTTGTCAATGTTGACAACATACATACGTGAGTGAGCTAAACTTGTAACCAAATAGAAATAAATTTTAAACATAGGTATGCTAGTGACGAGAAGTGACAGTGCAATTACCTAAGTGTAGTTACAGGATGAGAGCTATGCTCGTGGTGTCCCATCTCCCCAGCACTCTTTGTCATAAAGGAAGATTATAGACAACACTGGGCTCGACCTGATGGCCATCCGGCCACCTGCGTAAGGCCCATTCTGAGGCCGTGACTTTTCCTAAATAAAATAGTGTAAATAGAAAGAAGAGCATCCCCACTAACAGGTGGCGTTGTGATGGGACACTCAAGAGGAGAATACCCACTGCAAAAAACCGAACCAGAATAAACAATGTAACTGATAATCCAATCAGTTAAAAAATCATGAGCCACGAATGACTGGTATAAAAAGCCGACTGCACACAAAATAAATTTCTAAGGATAAGAAACTAAAGCCATATAGATGAATTCCAGTCTCATCTACCAAACAATCAATCCATAGCAACAACGGGCACAAGGCTCAGCCATATTGTAAGTCGACTCAGGTCAGGTAGGAGGGACCTCTGATTTACATACATCAAGTGCTGCCATCTGGCAGGAGTCCAGCACAACTGGAGTTTGAGGAGGAGGAGGCATTATCAGGGGGAAAGAACCAAGCCATTACGACTATTTAGCACTGGGAAGGGGGGGTCAGGATAAGGATTTGGGATGGGACGGGGGAGAAGGAATGGTACCCAACCACTTGGATGGTCGGGGATTGAACGCCGACCTGCATGAAGCGAGACAGTCGCTCTACCGTCCAGCCCAAGTGGTTGGAACTGGAGTTTGAACTAATGTTAATTTGTGATCTTTTTGTTGGAAAGGCTTCTAGTTTTATGGAACGTGTTTTCTGGTAGGTGCTCCACACTTTATTGAGGCTTCTCTAGTGTCTACCAAAGATTAGTACAATCTGGAAGGGACAGTTTAAAAAGTTCCTTGTTGCCAAGATGAAGATCGTCAACCCACTCTCACTAAGCATAGACCTGCCATGGGTCTAAGAAGTTCTTTGATTTAAGAAGCATTCCCAGAGATATGCAACAGGACTAGCGTTCAAACTATGAGATCTAAGCTGCAAAAATTGCCAAGGAATCCTAGAGGAGAAAAGGACCAAACATTGAAAAGAATTGAAAAGGATGACAGTGACAACTTTCAAACTGAGGATGAATAGGACAACAGGAAATGGATAGAAGCTGGAAAAAAATATGTTAGAAAACATACATAGGTGTGTTTTCTAACACACATAGGATACATAGGTTTTTGATGGATGCCTGCTAAAATAGTACAGTAGGCATCCATCAGTCTCGGGAAACTATGGAGTTGTACTCTGGTTGTCGGTCTGGAGTGGCCTCTCCAGGGCATAATGCCTGGGGTATATATACACCATTCATTATTAAATAATGGCAAAAGCATTATTAGGTAATGGCAAAAGCAAATGCATACAAGAAACATTTTCTTGCCAAACATGCCGTAAGAACTTATCTCACCTGACAAACATTCCAGCAGCATAGGCAAATAGGAAAGATGAATCCACAGTCCCCAAGAGAGTCGATGCATCCTCGCCATCTGTAGAAAAACAAATCTTTCACACACGTGTCAGTGCAAAATAAGGCATTACATCATTTCAATAATTTGGATACATGATAACATGGTCAAATTGTTAGAACAAAGCTTGGACATGTTGCAGGTCCTCATTAGATCTTTTCACACAAAGATTTGAACATTAAACCTCCTTCCTTTAAAGATATTATATTGAGCAGACAATAACTAATACTTATTAGATGTCAATTTTTAGCCCTATTTGAATGAATAAATACAGTATACTGTATTGTTAATACATTTCATTTTAATACAGTGCCATACTATAGCATAATTTACAGTTAAAATTTACAGTTATGTTAAAACTGATGCTGAAATATGTTTTCAGACATTTTTTGTTTACAATTCCTTCAGGACCAGGCAAAAAAGATGCCTATCCAGATTATCTTCACAAACAATAACTGCAATAAATACAATAGGAATTGTATAGGAAAAATAGGAGAAAGGGACATGAAAGGAGAAAAAGAAAGGGATAGGGGAAAAAAAAGGAAACATAATAAGGAGGGAGAAGAGAAAGAAGAATGGGAAGTGGGAGAGGAGCAACTAAGCCGACTGCAGCTTACCAAAAGGCTTCCAGTCACACCAGTGGCTGTTGTTGGTCTCAGCCGGAGGCGTCATGTTGGAACAGTTCTGGCTGAGGACGTTCTTCACCACAGATATAGGTTTTCGGGAGAGATGATAGGCGCAGTATGTCAAGTAGGTCAAAATCCACATCCATGTTGAGTATCTAGATAACATGGAAGAATATAATGAATACAACTGGAACCTAATATTCAGTATTGTACTACAAAAGGATACATTATACAGTAATTATACAAATTAGTGTAACATTTACATAAAGTGAATAATGAAAATTGCTGTAAAGCAGTATCAACAATACTCGCCAAACACCCACATTAATGGCACCTTTCCTAGTCGAAGCACGATACCTTAATAGGAGAAAATGTAAGACATCACAGGATACAGAAGCTGGCAAGTCACTAATCTAACAAAGGCTGTAACACTGAAGGACCTCAAAAAGTCAACTTTGAAGGTGACCCAAGTCATGAAGTGATTTAAAACTAAAAACTGCATAAACATGTTGATTTTATTGTGCTATACAGTCCAATATCTAGACTTTCAGTGTGGAAATAAAAATTCTGACTGAGGGGCAAAAATCAGCTGTTGAATGTAAAATTGAATGTTGAATGAATTTACTCTAAGCAGTATGCCTTAGAGTAAAGCCCCTTGTTCCAGATAGAATACAGTACTGTACTGTAGTAAAGTTATTTATATTCTTGGGGAATTAATAAATAGTTATGTTATTTAATCTAGAATTTCTTAGCAAAATGAAGTATCCGGACACCTAGCTAGTGCCTGTTATAAGATGATGAGGTATTACCCCATTTACTGGGGAAATTTTGCCAGTACAGTATAAGGATCTTGGTATAGTTTGGTTCATTCTCACCTCGATTGGGAATTCCGGGTTTGAATACCATGGAGGAGGGGCGAACAAATGGTTGGGCTTCCTTCCTATCATCATTGCCTCTGTTTACTAGCAGTAAATAGGTACGCAGGAGTTATTCAACTGTTGTGGGGTTGTATCCTGCGGTAAGGTCAGTAGTTCGACCTTGGGGGGGGGATTTCAATACAAGCCTAACATATATACAGGCTGCCTGTCCACGACAAAAGTGAAAATTAATTTTATTACATACTGTATTATAAAGCCTTTACTTTCTATGCTATTGGGCAGTACTTCTAGAATAACAAACCTGGTTTTTAGATGTTTGGTTCAATGGGCAGTCCAATGTTTGGTGGCTCAAAACTCATGAACCTATAAGTCATATATATCTGATATTAGAAGGCAAGGTAGCACAAGTGTAATTACTCTTTAATGATAGTATTTAAATATTGCTTACAACATTTTTTCCCCTAATTCTTCCCATGTGTCTAGATTCACAAACCATACACCCATACATACACCCTAGTGGACCAAACTCTCAAAAGTCAAGCCAGTCCGGCAACCAGGAGGCCTGGACGACGACTGGGCCGCGGGGACGCTAAGCCCTAGAAGCACGTCAAGATAACCTCAAGGTAAGGTGGCCTCGGGCCGAGTTTGGGGAGTAGAACAACTCCCAGAACCCCATCAACCAGGTATCAACCATGTTTGGTGTTTTCCCAATGAACCACTGACCATGGGAATGGCTACCCCTTGAACAGTCACATGCACTTCCTTGATAGTATGCAAGGAAGCACAGTGTGTTTTGTATGCATCAGCAGCATTTTCAATTAATATGGACATGCAGTACCTTGTTTTGGTGCTCTGAGACTCGTGGGCGATTGTGCAACCTGTCCCTGGGTGCCTTTGTTTACTTTTAATGGATCATCATTGATACCTACCACTGTGAAATTATTCAAGTTAAGGACTACGCATATTTTTAGGACTGTATTTGACGAGATTCTGCCATTCTTTTCGTTTAGTTCCATACACCGATTTTGTTTGGCGGTGATGTCCGGAAACCAGCAGCATTACCCAATGTATTAGAAGTCTGCCCGAAACGCTGCACGTACTAGTGGCTTTACAAGAGTGTAATTACTGTACTATGCTATGTATTCTCACAAACTCACTGTACCTTCTTGTATATAAATAAATAAATAAATAAAGTGCTGCACTGTACAATAAATGTTTTGAGATGTCATTACTAGAAGAAAGGGAAAGAGAAATGAACAGGCAACAAAAAACCATGGTAGCTGTCTTACGTCCTCCCAACATTCAAAACCTCTCCTATTTTTCCACCTATCTCATACGTTCTGCTATTCGCAGACTACCACGCCACTAAATTCTTCAGATTTACATCTAGTGAAATTTTACATCAACTTTTTGACTTACATCATTTGAATTATATTAAATTCTTATTTTCTAAATGTAAATGTGTTCAATAATAAAATAATAAAATGGTTTATATGAAGCCGACGTAGTTGAATTGATCGAGAGCTATGCAGAACCCTTATCATTGCCAAAGGAACTTGCTCCACCAACAAAAAGTTGAAAAAAAAATTATGTACAAAATTATGATGGAATAAAGCAGTGAATTTAGAAATTTAGAAGACATCAGGATAAGCCTTTGGTCACCCATAAGGAGCTTTATCACAAGAAGCGAGCTGTCCTGATCAATAACATTTTCAAATGGTAAGAGAAGAAAACACTACAAAATAGCTATGAACAAAAAAACTACCAGTAACCAGATGAAGTCAGAACATCCTGACACTTTTTCAATAATGATTTAAATATCGTACACATCCCTTCACCATCCCCCTCCCTTCCCAAGGTATAAACACCATTTTCTAACAACTACTCTGCATTCATCCCCCATCCTTGTATTCATCGCCCCCATCATAATGTGTACCTGCTTGATACCTGCTTGATGGGGTTCTGGGAGTTCTTCTACTCCCAAAGCCCGGCCCGAGGCTCGACTTCTTTTACTATCTTGTAGCTCCATACAATCATTCAATTTAGTCAAGAACCTACATCTTATTCCTCCCTATAACATTCTACTTGCACACTGTAACATATATACAGTCATTACAGTACTGTCATTATCAGTACTGTACATATATATATCTACTAATGTCACAGCCAATCCAACATGTGCTTGAATTAACACTCGAATCCCTTTAACACTCGCTCCTTGTTTACAATTAACCTCCAATCCTAACAACACAATTAACCTTTAACCCTCTCACCACTTAAGATTTTTTCACCACTACCATTTACCTTCCCATTAAGATGGGTCTCACTCACACAACACATTCTTCTCCACATTTAACAAATTTAATTTAATTTGTCCCTTTTCCCCTCATTTATTTCATTTACATTAACAAGCCATTTATGTCCAATGGTGGTACACACACGTGTACCATTTCTAAAGCATTTCAAGCTCCTTTAGCATGTATGTATGACCGGTGGACACCATAAGCTACACGAAAAACCTATAATATATATCACTGGTGGAGCAGGCCATCCCGAACTTGTTAAAATACACACATTTCTCTCCATGTGCATTTCATCCTAAAGTCGTCACCACCAGCTTTGCTACATTTCCTCTTCAACCTCAAACAGGGGTGCTGGCGGGTAGAAAACAAAGTACAGCAGTACTGTATCCCACGAAGGACTTGGTTTGGGATGTTTTAATGACCAGAAAACCAGCACAATTCACTGAAAACCAGAGAATCTGCCAACATACTCTAAAATAAAGAGGCCTTGTCCAACTTTAAAATAGTTGACAGCTCATACGAGACCACAGTGGCAGGAGAGTCTAGTTGACAGCTCATATGAGGCCACAATGGCAGGAGAGCCTAATTGACAGCTCATACGAGGCCACAGTGTCAGAGGAGCCTAGTTGACAGCTCATATGAGACCACAGTGGCAGGAGAGCCTAGTTGACAGCTCATACGAGACCACAGTGGCAGGAGAGCCTAGTTGACAGCTCATACCAGCCCATAGTGGCAGGAGAGCCTAGTTGACAGCTCATACCAGCCCACAGTGGCAGGAGAGCCTAGTTGACAGCTCATACAAGACCAGTGACAGGTGAGCCTAATTGACAGCTTATACGAGGAAACAGTAGAAAGTGAGCCTAGTTGACAGCTCATACGAGACCACAGTGGCAGGAGAGCCTAGTTGACAGTTCATACCAGTCCACAGTGGCAGGAGAGCCTAGTTGACAGCTCATACCAGCCCACAGTGGCAGGAGAGCCTAGTTGACAGCTCATACAAGACCAGTGACAGGTGAGTCTAGTTGACAGCTCATACGAGACCACAGTAGGAAGTGAGCCTAGTTGACAGCTCAAGGAGACCACGGTGGCAGCCCACAGTGGGAGGAGAGCCTAGTTGACAGCTCATAGACCGCCACGGTGGCAGGAGAGCCCTCTTGACAGCTCCTAGGCCGCCACGGTGGCAGGAGAGCGCAGTTGACCGCTCTTAGGCCGCCACGGAAGCAGCTGAGCCCTCTTGACAGCTCCTAGGCCGCCACGGAAGCAGCTGAGCCTAGTTGGCAGCTCCTAGACCGCCACGGTGGCAGGAGAGCCCTCTTGACAGATCCTAGGCCGCCACGGAGGCAGCTGAGCCCTCTTGACAGCTCCTAGGCCGCCACGGAAGCAGCTGACACCAGTTGACAGCTCTTAGGCCGCCACGGAAGCAGCTGAGCCTAGTTGACAGGTCATAGACCGCCACGGTGGCAGGAGAGCCCTCTTGACAGCTCCTAGGCCGCCACGGAAGCAGCTGAGCCTCCAGCTGTGCTGTGGACGTCACCAAAACAATCAACAAAGCACTTACGCTATTCTCTTCTTCGGCGTCGGCACGTTAAGGCAGCAGCTGGACTCCACCGCCTGAATGCTCAATGGTAATTTGCCCATTTCTTTGATGGTTTGAGTTGGCTTTTAAAGTACGAATTAAAAATAATCAACTGTGTTTAGGAAAAAGCGAGAGCAACGAAGATGCTCTCTCCACTATGGCCACTTGCCAACTAGCTCTTTGGCTCGTTGACATGACGCATATACTCGCCCCCTCAACTGCCACATATTACTACTTGCTCTATTATTTCTCCTTTATTATCACCTATTATACCACTCTCAGTATATTTCTAACCTGCAGGACATCTATATCTAATGATATACTCTAAATTCTCATATACTTATTAAACGTATACGATATGATGTTAGAGAATAAAATATAAAACGTTTCAAGACCTATGGCAAGAGGTTCATGAGGATGTTAAAGGGCAGATTATTTTCCTCCAATCACGGGATAGAATATATTGTTTACATTAGTTTTTTTTTGTTGCTGCTTGTCTTAGTTTCCCAAGACGAATATTTGACATCCTTGACACACTTCACCAATGTCAATTACTCAGGATACACAATAACAAAAAAAAAATCTCAACCAATCGCCTTTAAACTATATATTTGTAACTCGTCTTGTATGTATGTACCTGAATAAATATTTATTCATTTTTATTAATTTATATATGAAGTCCAAGACAACAATTAATATATCTGAGGCAGTGAAATCTACACTGACAATTCCATCTATCACCCTAACATCATGCAAGAAGAGTCACATATATATCAATCATACCTTTGTATTATTTTTTACGCTATCACTCACAGGATGAGTATGGGGTGCACTATAAACTACTGCTCACAGGATGAGTATGGGGTGCACTATAAACTACTGCTCACAGGATGAGTATGGGGTGCACAATCAACTACTGCTCACAGGATGAGTATGGGGCGCACAATAAACTACAGCTCAAAGGATGAGTATGAGGTGCACAATAAACTATTGCTCACAGGATGAGTATGAGCTCATCCTAAAGTGAGGTCCTGAGTTTTAGTCCTCAACTTAAAGTTAGGTCCTCAGTTTTAGTCCTCATCCTAAAGCAAGGTCCTCAGTTTTAGTCCTCATCCTAAAGCAAGGTCCTCAGTTTTAGTCCTCATCCTAAAGCAAGGTCCTCAGTTTTAGTCCTCATTCTAAAGTGAGATCCTCAGTGTTAGTCCTCATCCTAAAGTGAGGTCCTCAGTGTTAGTCCTCATCCTAAAGTGAGGTCCTCAGTGTTAGTCCTCATCCTAAAGTGAGGTCCTCAGTGTTAGTCCTCATCCTAAAGTGAGGTCCTCAGTGTTAGTCCTCATCCTAAAGTGAGATCCTCAGTGTTAGTCCTCATCCTAAAGTGAGGTCCTCAGTGTTAGTCCTCATCCTAAAGTGAGATCCTCAGTGTTAGTCCTCATCCTAAAGTGAGGTCCTCAGTGTTAGTCCTCATCCTAAAGTGAGATCCTCAGTGTTAGTCCTCATCCTAAAGTGAGGTCCTCAGTGTTAGTCCTCATCCTAAAGTGAGGTCCTCAGTGTTAGTCCTCATCCTAAAGTGAGGTCCTCAGTTTTAGTCCTCATCCTAAAGTGAGGTCCTCAGTTTTAGTCCTCATCCTAAAGTGAGGTCCTCAGTTTTAGTCCTCATCCTAAAGTGAGGTCCTCAGTTTTAGTCCTCATCCTAAAACTTTTCTCAAACAGCCCCATTTTTTAGGTAACGTGTAACTCATAGGCCTATTGGGTATATTTCATAGGCGCCGAAAAGAGTATATTTAATTGTTATATATTTTAATCGGCCGTGATTTTGATGTAATAAGTCATCATAGAATACAGACTTCTATTAACAATGAAACAATTTGTTCTTTGCTTTTAAATGAGCTAAAGATGATAAGCTTCACGTATATTCAGGAATGTGTTACATTCACTACAGTTAGTAAGAACTTGTGCAATGTATTTTTACTTAAATTCAAGAAGAAAAAAAATTAAATGAAGGTGGTACACAGGATGACGTAACTTGCATATGTTAAGTAAACATCTGAGTAAGAAAGTAATAATGTACTACTTACCTGAATAGTAATAATTTACTACTTACATGAGTCAGTAAAGACTCATAATGATTCATGTATCTTGGGTGATGACGGTATGGCGGATAGGTCACTCTTGCTTAGAAAGGCAATATATTGTCTATGCTTTACTTCTCACAAGCCTTTATTTATTTCTTCTACATTCTCCTTACTCCTTAAAACTCCATGTGTTGCTGCGGAAAGAATTCCTGAGCGTTGAGTTTCAGAGCGACAAAAGGTGTTAAATAGTTTCAAAACAACAATATGAATTCGTCTTTCAATTAGTGGTTACCTCTATATAGGTAATTATTTACTCATAAATTGTCTATCGATGCTGTCGAAATACACAAGTAATATTTCAAATGAATTACCATATAATGTAAAGGCAAAAAATATATATATGAATGGAATTGGATAGGTTATAAATAGGAGCTGCCTTGTATAGGCCAATAGGTCTTCTGCAGTTACCTTTGTTCTTATGTTCTAATGTTAAAATATTATCGATTAACTAACACATATAATCTAGTTTATGTGATGTCCTATTTTGATAGCCTAATTAACTAGTTATTCTGTAGGTCACAAACATTTTACCAGCCAAAGGGGTTCCTTGTATAGCTTTGCCCTTGGGAATATCTGTTCCTCAAACTATCAACTGAAATATAAGAAAATGAACTTGACATATTTGTTAATCTAGGCAGGCTTGATCGACTGACCCAAATTGAGTAGAGGCCAAGGCAGCGTGAGTAGCCCGTCTTCTCGACCAATCAAAATCAAATATTATATACTGAATTGTCCGAACCTAACCTAGCTGACGACTCGACCATAGAAAATGTGGGCTGCCATACTGGTGTGATAGGTCTAGCTAACATCTGCCATACTGGTGTGATAGGTCTAGCTAACATCTGCCACACTCCTGTGATAGGTCTAGCTAACATCTGCCACACTCCTGTGATAGGTCTAGCTAACATCTGCCATACTGCTGTGATAGGTCTAGCTAACATCTGCCATACTCCTGTGATAGGTTTAGCTAACATCTGCCATACTGCTGTGATAGGTTGATACCTGATCAACCAGGCTGTTACTCATACGTCAGGCTGCGAGCAGCCGCGTCCAACAGCCTGGTTGATCAGTCCGGCAACCAGGAGGCCTGGTCGACGACCGGGCCGCGGGGACGCTAAGCCCCGGAAGCACCTCAAGGTAACCTCAAGGTAAGGTAGGTCTAGCTAACATCTGCCATACTCCTGTGATAGATCAAACTAACATCTGCCATACTCCTGTGATAGTTCAAACTAACATCTGCCATACTCATGTGATAGGTCTAGCCAACATCTGCCATACTGCTCTGATAGGTCTAGCTAACATCTGCCATACTGCTCTGATAGATCTAGCTAATATCTGCCATACTCCTGTGATAGGTCTAGCTAACATCTGCCATACTGCTCTGATAGATCTAACTAACATCTGCCATACTCCTGTGATAGGTCTAGCTAACATCTGCCATACTGCTCTGATAGATCTAACTAACATCTGCCATACTGCTCTGATAGATCTAGCTAACATCTGCCATACTGCTCTGATAGATCTAAATAACATCTGCCATACTCCTGTGATAGGTCTAGCTAACATCTGCCATACTGCTCTGATAGATCTAACTAACATCTGCCATACTGCTCTGATAGATCTAGCTAACATCTGCCATACTGCTCTGATAGGTCTAGCTAACATCTACCATACTCCTATTACAGGAAAACGGTACCCAGCCACTTAGATCATCGGGGAATGAACGCCGGCCCTGCAAGAAGCCAAGTTTCCGCTCTACCGACCGGTACAAGTGGATGGCCAGCCATCTACGATGTTATGGTGAATATCTAATCACCAGCACCTATCTGATGGTCGGAGATTAAGTACCAACCCATCCTCATTTTCCCCTCTTGAGTGTAAATGTTTTAAAACATGTAGCCTAGTATGCTGAGAATATTACTATTAAATATATCAGTTAAACTAACTAAAACTGGAGGCAGGTCATTGCGATGTCAGTTTGGTAAACTGTGAATAGACTATAAAACACAGGAAGCAGCCCGTAGCAGCTGTCTAACTCCCAGGTACCTATTTACTGCTAGGTGATAGGGGCATGAGGGTGAGGGGGAAACTCTGCCCATCTGTTTCCGCCGGCTGCGGGGATCGAACCCCGTTCTCTAGGTGCATGAGTCTAGAGCGCTGTCCACTCAGCCACAAGCCCTCTTGTTGGTGTGTGTGTACTCACCTAGTTGTGTGCTTGCGGGGGTTGAGCTCTGGCTCTTTGGTCCCGCCTCTCAACCGTCAATCAACAGGTGTACAGGTTCCTGAGCCTATCGGGCTCTATCATATCTACACTTGAAACTGTGTATGGAGTCAGCCTCCACCACATTACTTCCTAATGCATTCCATTTGTCAACCACTCTGACACTAAAAAAGTTCTTTCTAATATCTCTGTGGCTCATTTGGGCACTCAGTTTCCACCTGTGTCCCCTAGGGCGTGTGCCCTTTGTGTTAAATAGCCTGTCTTTATCAACCCTGTCGATTCCCTTGAGAATCTTGAATGTGGTGATCATGTGTGTGTGTGTGGAAAAAAATAGTTAGTAGTTAGTAACAGTTGATTGACAGTTGAAAGGCAGGCCGAAAGAGCAAACAGCTCAACCCCCGCAAGCACAACTAGGCGAATACTCTCACACACACACTGTTGGATCACGGCTCCTCCTCTCTCTCCCTCCCTCCTGATAGGTGTCTTATCGAAATTAAGATAATAGTTTCAACGTTACACAGGCTCCGTCAAACCAAGTGTGAGTGAGTCACATGGGGGCTGGGCCCCTGCAGCTGTGTCTGAGGCTTGATGCATAGCGGCCCATCTATCCTGTGTATTCACCTTTTCTCTTCTTTCTTTATTATGCACCTTCCCCCCCCATACCATCCCGTGCGCGGTGGGGGAAAGGAGCTACAGAGGCCACATAATGGGTTCAGGAACCCATGAACCTCCATAGTTCGTGTGGATAAGCAAGTGACAATCTTTTGAAGCTAGTTACACAATTGTTGATGCTACATCATCCCACAATGTCTTTGTCACA